TTCCGCACCAAATATCTTATAAGAAAAACATCTGTTATTTTGAGGGTAATATCTCCCCATTGGTAAGGAAAGTGAGACAGGTTCTGCCTGCCAACATGAACTAACATGAGATGTTTTAGTCCATCAGAATTCAGAAGTATGGGTCTTCTGATGCAGCGCTCTCTACACTTATTCTCCAAACTCGTTAACGCCGCCTTGGGTTTTTGTCAGCAGTTCAATTGCTTTAAATAATTGGCAAGAGCACTCCATTATTGCGTAATTGTCCCGTAACTACTTAGTCTTAATGCGATCCTCTGTGTGTTTTTTTTGCTGAATGTTATCCCATGAGAAACCGTACCAACGAGATGGTAAAAATTTGACAAAAAAAACGATCGATTCTTTGAGTTGAATTGTAACCGCGACCAAATCACTGCATCATGGTGAAGCGGGGCGCCACGAGTTTGGTGCGTTGCTTTTGTGCCAAATTATCGTTCATTTCAAATCACGCAAGCGGAACATTATTTTTCAATGCCGGTAATTAATGATTTTTGTTGTTGTTAAAAGCTTCTGTTGGCTCTCACACGGATGTGAGTGTGGCAATTGGCGGTGGAGAGGCAAGTTAATGGCGTGGGGAAAGTGCGCGTGCTCGATCCCATGCAGTCACACGATCCCACATAGTCACGCGATCCTGAGTCGTCACGTGATTCCACACAGTCACGCGCTCTCGTGTAGTCACACGAACCTCGGGCGCTAACTGGCAGCCCCATCGATCGCTCTCTTTCTCTCTCGTGCAGAGATTTGATTTTGCTTTTTGAGAATAAAACTTGAAAATGCTCGCTGAAATGATTACTGCGGAACAAGCCAATTGACTGAACGTCATCGCATCGCACCAGCAATTTGTCTATTCACCGAGAGATAAACAGACGAGGGTTTTAAAACAGATGTAAAGGTTTTTTGTCTGTTTAAAAACAAAAAAATACATTCGGTTCCATTAGATAATTATCAAATCATAATGCATTTCCCCAAGTCAATGTGGTTTCATCTTTCCGATTCTCATCGGCAAGGGTGCGGCCTGTTAAACCCAACACCGCTGTTTTGCCTGATGAGAGGTCCTCGATTGACGCAGTGCAGCCCGTTCAGTGCAGTTCAGCAACTTTGTACGCGTGAGCTGCGCTGGTGCATTTTGGGAACGGCCGTCGAGGAGTTGGTACAGAAAAAATGCGGACTCCGCCTATTCCGGCTGCACGGAATACAGTGTTTCTCCCTTGCACGCGTGAGTTTTCACCGGGTCTTTCGTCTTCCTCCCACATGTAAGCACTCGTTAATTATGCTGATCACACCTCTATACATATAAAGGACCGCAGAGCTTGGGCAATTGTTGGGAGCGCCGACTCGCCGGGCGCCTGCCTTGTCGCCTGTCTGTGGTCCAGCCTCCGAGTCGTTCTCTCTCTTCTAGAGCGAGCTATTACTGCGTTACGGCGGCACGTCGCAAGCTGAAATAATGATTATTATATTATACAATGTGTTCCTGTTTCGTTTCTCAATGTAACTCCAAGCGTGCGTGACAGAAATGTGTGTGTTTACTGAGGGCTGGGCTTTATGGATGGGCGTGGAAGTGAATTATCTACAAAATTGGAGGAGGGGAGGAGGAGGAGGTTTCATCGATTGTCTGCTGCTTTTTCACCGGCCGGATTGAAGCGGCCCTGACGCGGCAGTGATGAATGCTCTTTAGATGATCTTCCCCATGGGGACTTGCGCACACTCAATTGTGCGGCGTTTAATCTGCTAACGGCCCAATCGCAGCGTCTTGTGTGTAAAGCCGCGCTATACGGTGAAGCCCTTGCAGTGGCAGGAGTCACCGAGCACTGTAAAATAAGTCACGCACTACTGTCGCCTCGTCAACATACGCCCCCCCCCCCCGTCTAGTACCCGATTAGTGCTAGAGCGATGGATGATTATCGTTTTGGTGCCAATCGTGCCCACGGGCCATACGACGTGAGGTAGTGGGCCGCGTGTGGGCCGCATGTGGGCCGCGTGCGTGCCGTAGATTATGGGGCCGCACGGCACTCCCTGTAGGCCCGCGCCGCTGAGCCCACGGCCTGAACCGCTACGTGCTTCCCCCATCTCAGTCGCCATCGGCCGCGATCTGTCCACTGCCGCTGGACGACGGCCTCCCAAAGCGTTCCTCGTCTCTCGCAGGCCGCCTAGCGCCCGCGCGCGAACTCATCTCGTGGCTCCATCTCCGTGGTGGACTACCTCTGGGGCGCACTGCCTCTTCTGCCTGCCACCCCGGTTGTTCGTCTCGACCGCCGGCTCTCACACCTTCGAGCAACGTATCCTGCCCATGCCCACTTTTTGTTGCCAGTCTATGCGATGGCTTAAACGTCCGTATGCTCTCTGATCCACACGTTCCTCTTTCTGTCCGTCGGTGTAATTCCAAGCGTGTGTCTCTTTCCGTGCTACGGGGCTGCCTTATTTAATACGAATGAAACGGCGCCGCTAGCCAGACGCTCGCCGCGTGTGGTGGGTGCGTGCGCACGCGTGCGGTTCTGTGATGTTTTACTGGAAGAGCCGCGATCGTTCCGTTCGTCGATTGTGAGCAGCGGCATCGGGGGGTTTAATTTCAGCCGGAAAACATCGCCACAAACGGCGGCACACCACGTCCAACGTACCCAGTCTTGCTATGGCCGTGCCTCCAAGTTGCACGCCACCTACTTTAGTCTGTGACGGACCTGGATTTCTGCCCCAATGTGTGTGGTGGTTGCTGGGGGGGAGGGGGGATGCAGTGGGGGTGAAATGCCAGGTACCTCTCCGTCAAATCCAGGCTGAGAATGCGGCACAGCAGATAGCAGTGCCACAAGATGCGGTCAGTGCGTTGTACAATGTGGCATTAGTGCTAGCTGTGGGGGTGTGGGGAGTGGCAGCAGGAGTACTTGGTGATGTGATACCAACATCGAAATTGCATCGCCGGCGGTGAAAAATCCTTCGTTCGTCAAGTTTAATTTGAACCAGGTGACAGCCCGCACTGAGCGACTTGATGAAGTACGGTCAAACAACCCCCTCCTAGCGACTGACGACGACCGTGCCGATGACGACGACGATGACGACGGGGAATGACGGTCCTCTCTGCAGCCACAGCAGTCCATGGGACGATTGAGTCGCGAGCGTCGCGCGGTCAGCAGGCAGCCTCGCGCCCGCTCGCCATGCACGCGGCTCGCCGACAAAGCGCCCAGGCGCGGCCGCCAAAGTCCGTCCAGAGGACGACGGTGCTCTAACTTCACGGCCGCTCGGACCGTTCCGGTCCGCGTGCGGCCCGGACCGTCGCGTTCGGGCCGGGGAGGTGCCACTCGTGCCGGCCGTGCTGTTAATCTCATCGTAAGAGCGATTTATTTTCTCGGGCTGCCTGACGGCCGGCACTCGCGCAATTAAAGTGGAGCGTGTTTGGCAAAGCTGCGCTCTTTCAGCGTAAAGGCTTTTTTTTTTACTTATTCACGACTTTCTTTTTCCAGAGCGCACTCATTACATTCAAAGACTTTGAGATATGGGGATGGCCCTGGGAATGTTTCCTAATTTTGAACTAATTGTGGCCAGTTTTGCACGAATGTTATTATTATTTGCGTTCCGTGTCCGTAAATGTTCGGGCTAGACGTTCGCTCCCCGGCGCGTGCTCTCGGGATGCACCGCACGCTGTTCGGCAGGGTACCCAACATTCCCTTCCTGAAGAAGCCTCCAGCTGTGTGGAGCGAAGCGTCGGAAACATCGTGCCAAAACGACACAAAGTGGCAAAAAAAGGCTAAAACACAGGGGGGGTGGGGTGGAGAGAGAGCGACATGCGGCAGCACAACTGCGGAAACCTTCATGTGGGCGACAGACGCCCGCGTGTCGCACCCGCGACTGGGAGCCTCCCAGTGTCCCCAGCCACAACAGACTGTCACAACCCACGTCACCCGGTAATTGGACACCCCCACCCCCCCGCTGGGGGGCAGGGGCGGACTTTGTGAGCCGCGTCTGCCGTATCCGCGCATCTGCCGCCGGTCACATCTGCTCAAGTTTGTCTTAACGGTGACAAGAGGACCACAATGCACCTCTGCAGGAAATACTGATGGTTTTTGCAGAATGCACACAGAGGCTATGTGCTTCATGATGAAAAATAAATTCTTGACCCTTTCTGCCAATAATACAGGTGTTAAGATGTTAATACCAGGGACGTGCAGTCAGGAGAGGCAAGGAGAGGCAGAGCCTCACATGTCATACTCCAATGAAAATAGCCGTTACAAAAAAAAATATAGGATTTTTCCACTGATCTGTGTTATAAATGTAATTTCTGTACGATTCCAATCATTTTTATTGTCAAAATCGCCAAATTTGCGGAGCTCCGCTGCAAATACAGGAAGAGACGAGAGGTGAGGCAGCGACAAGCTCAGCCTCCCCTCTGATTGCGCAACCCCTCAGTAACTGGATGGAGCGCGGGCAATAAGCGCGTGCCTACTACTATCTCAGTGTGTCACCAATGTGATGTTTGTAGACCCCATTTCATGTCCTCGCCTTCCATACTCCAGGTAACTTATTTCACGTGTGTGTATAAAGATATTTAGGCTCACTGGTCTCGTCGTTAAACTGCAATGAAAACGCACCAGGAGAGGCAGCTATCACATCTGCCTCACTGAGGGGGACGTGTCTAACACGCTCCCTCAGTGAGGACACGCCCCCTCAGTGAGGACACGCCCCCCTCATTGTGTGAATCTGGCTCTGACATGAGCCAGTGCCTCCCCAGCCATTGACTTCACCGCACGTCACTGGTTAATACAGGTTTTAGGATGTTAATACAGGTGGTAGGATGTTAAAACACCTCGTCATATCTCGCGAAAATACTGCCATAGTTGTGCGCTTCTTACATGTGTGTTGCGTGGCACGTACAGTTTTCCAGCCTATGCTATTATTACTCGTTGGTTCTTTCGGTAAAGTCATGTAGGTATAATTATTCTATTATAGGCATGTGGTGTGCGTGTGTGTGCGTACAGGCGAGCTCTGCTTGGCATCATGATGCCTGGTAGTGCCACACTCGCCGCACGGCCCCCCCACCCCCGCGGTGTCTAGTGGGCGGAGGAGGAGGGCCGCTGGAACCGGCCGCTGGAACCGGCGGCCGCCACCATGGTGCTGCACCGCTCGCCGTTCCCCAACGCGTGCTGCCGCGGCCTGCACGCGGCCGCCTGGGCCCTCGTGTTCCCCGCCTACTGGCTCGCCGACCGGCTCATCGCCATCTGCGTCTCCACCAGCAAGGAGCGCGAGGAGCGCGCCCAGGACGCCTGCTACCTGCGCCCGCTCTACCTGTGCGTGCTGGTGCCCGCGGTCTTCCTCGCGTTCCTGCTCTCGCTGCCCTTCGCGCTGCTCGGCTTCCTCGTGTGGTTGCCCCTGCAGTCGGCGCGGCGGCCGTACGCGTATTCCTCCTTCCACGGCGGCAAGGATCGGCAGGCCAGCAGGCAGCGGCCGCCGCTGACCGACCTGCTGCGGCAGGGCGGACGCAGCTTCTCGTTCGCGTCGGCCAACGTGTGCCTGCTGCCCGACTCGCTTGCGCGCTTCAGCAACCTGTCGCACACCCAGCGGCGGTCCCGCGAGATGGGGCTTCGCATCCGCAACGGGGTGGGCCGCCCGCCCATCCGCATCCTGGTGGACTCGCCCACCGACACGTCGGAGAGCAACACGAGCCTTCTGGACTCGGAGCAGCACGGTGGCGGCGGCTCCATGTACGGGGCGCTGAGACGCACGACGTCCCTGCAGTCGCACACGTCGGCGCAGCAGGGCGGGCAGAAGCGCGGCGGAGCGCAGCAGGGCAGCCGGGAAGACATCCAGTACATCGACAGGGAGACGCCCGAAGACGACAGGACTGGTGGCGGCGGTGGGGAGAAGGGCAAGGAGGATTCCTGCAGCGTCAAAATCGAGTTTGGGGACGGGGACGCGATGACCAACGGGACGGAGGCGGCGCCGCCGGAGGACGGGCGCAGGGACGCGCAGGCGAACAACGACCGCTCCGCCGCCTGCGCCAACCTCCTGTCGGAGAGGATGGCGAAGGCCTCGCGCAAGCGGGCGAGCAAGACCGGCGAGGAGATCTACAGCGAGGTGGCGCCGTTCTTCCCCGCGGACCTCGACTTCCTGTGCCTGCAGGAGGTGTTCGACAAGCGGGCGGCGGCGAACCTGTGCGAGCAGCTGCACCCCTGCTTCCCCTACATCCTGTCGGACGTGGGCGTCTACGCCTTCCACGGCTGCCAGTTCAAGTTTTTCAACAGCGGCCTCTTCCTCGCCAGCCGCTTCCCCATCCTGGACGCCGCCTACCACTGCTACCCCAACGGACGGAAGGAGGACATCCTCGCCGCCAAGGGCGTCCTCTTCGCCAAGGTGAGGGAGGCGGGGTGGCGGCGAACATTGGTGGGGGGTTTGCGGGCCGGCATCGGATTCGCCGTCGCTCGCAAATTGTGGCGGCAGAGTTTGCCGCCGCGGTAGTGTCTGCGTGGCTCACCACGCGTTGATCGATGCCCCCTCGCCACTACTATCCCAGTAAAGTTACCTGCATTTCTGGTGGGCTCGACGTTGGATGCGTGCTAAGCGGGAGCCCGTTCCCGTTAGCTCCGCCCACTCTTTCATAGCCACGCCCACTAGAACTCGCTTGGCCCGCCCCGCACAGCAAGGGGATTCGCTCATCACTCTTGTTGTTGGCTCTGCCTACTGTGGATAGTCACCGCCCAAATCTGCAAGGTACGCCCACTGCTCTGGTAGCTCCCACCCACTATTTTGTTAGCCCCGCCCACTGCTCAGTTAGCCCCGCCCACTACTCGGGTAGCCAGAACATTTAAAATCGGGTATAAAATCCCAGTTTTCACAAGAGTTTTGGAGAAGTGGGGTGGCGGGGGTGTGGGGGGGTTGAGGGGTTTGAGATTGGGTCACACTTTTTGAAACCACTGAGACTGTCCTGTCCAAACCGAGACGGTTGGCGGCTTAACTCCCCATCCATTCTCACATCACTGGACATTATATCCCAAAAGGCCAAACAAAAACCCACCTCCATTATGGACTCTCACTGCTGTTTAATTACGATGGTGTGTTTTGGGCAGCGTCATTTTTCCTCCCCCAGCCTTGTGATCAATCCTAGTCATGTTGGTTTATTACTTTGCTGCGTTGCCCGTGCAGCGCTGATGGGATTGAGTGCCTCCAGCCAGGCTCCTGGGTCACTGCTCATGAATTTATGAAGCGGTGTGATTAAACAGCACGCTGCTGGCACACGGGGGAGGCCCCACACTGCCCCGGGGGGGGGGGGGGGGGAGTCGATTCTGGGCAGAGCCACGCAAGCAATGTTGGGTTGGTTGGGTGGCTCCCCCCCCACCCCCCTGGAATTCTAGGTTTTGACTGCACCGTACTTAGGTTTGCTCATTTCCAGCTATGAGATATCCCTGCGGTAGAGTGGCAAAGTGGTGACACTTGTGTCTCGCAGGAAGAAGGCCCGGTGGGGTTTGATTCCCAACCCGAGTGTCTGTCTGCGAGGGGAGTTTGTATGTTCTCCCTCTGTTCTGCGTGGATTTTCGCCGGGTTCTCCGGTCTCCTCCTAGAACTAATGAAACCCATACAAGGCATTTAGAATTGGTATTGGCCAAAACATCTCTTTCTTTTCTGCAAAGTACTCAATTAGGATCACACGTAGCAACATCAATCACATCGACTGCGAAAACTTGGCCGGACCCTCTGCTCGAAATGTAGCGCAGCAGCAGCAGCAGCAGCAGCAGCAGCTTGGAACACCTGTACCTGCTTATTTTCCAAGATCTGAAGAAATGGTCACCGTGGTGGTGAGATTAATATATCTGTCGCCTGCTATGCGGGAGGTCGTTGGTGTCGAATCCGACCCCTGATGCCCGTACGTTTGGAATTCGAATGTTCCCCTGGATCCTCTGGTGTTTGCCAACCATAGTTAGGGAACATGCGTGTGGATCACTTGTGATGACATGAGCCACTTCAGTGTGAGCTATCATGCGTGGCGAGGTTGCCTCTGAAAAAGGAAATGACAGCTCATTGGGCTCAACACGAGCGTCGAGGCGTTTGGCGGTCGTCTCCTGTTTAAATTCCGAGCCAGCGGTGGAAAGTCCACATTCCCATTGCGTGATGGGTGAGGCCTTGTGTAATGTCCCAAACAAATGTACAAAACACATAACCAAGCGCGTGCTTCTTGTGGTGTCACCCTCAGGTGCACGTGGGAAGCACTGCGCAGGACCAGAGGATTGTGGGATACATCGCCTCTACGCATCTGCAAGCCCTGGAAGGTAACCTAGCCGAAATCGCGAGGGTCGTTTGGATTCTATTATAATTGTATTATTACTCCTGCACTTGTTCACCCATCAATGCCTCACTTGAGTCTGAAGACTCGTTTTCTGGAGACTCCTGTCAAGTGTAGGCAGGTGGGCAAGGCTGGGCGCGTGTGGGCGTGCGTGAGTGGGCTTGGGCATGGGTGGACATGGGTGGGCGCGTGAGGGCATGGGTGGGCATGGGCGTGGGTGGGCGCATGTGGGTGGGCATGGGTGGACACGTGTGGGCATGGGTGGGTTCCTCACGAGTGTGTGCCGCGTGCGCAGAGGACGCTGACATCCGCTGCGAGCAGCTGGACCGGCTGCTGGAGTGGAAGGAGGAGTTCGTGGAGGCGACGTCGGACCCGGCGCGCCCGCAGGACCTGGTCGTCTTCGACGTCCTGTGCGGGGACTTCAACTTCGACAACTCCTCCGAAGGTTGGTGGTTTGGTGGTGCCGTTGGGGGGGGGAGGTGGAGGGGGTGGAGGAGCCCGCTGGCGGCAGCCCCATCTCGGTGTAAAGTCTTTGTAATGCGTGTGTGTGTAATGCGTGTGTGTGTGTAATGCATGGTGTAATGTGTGTGTGTAATGCATGTGTGTGTGTGTGTGTAATGCATGTGCGTGTAATGCGTGTGTGTGCGTGTAATGCGTGTGCGTGTGCGTGTAGTGTGTGTGTGTGCGTGTAATGCGTGTGTGTGTGCGTGTAATGCGTGTGTGTGTAATACGAGTGTGTATATGTAATGCGTGTGTGTGTCTGTAATGCGTATGTGTGTGTGTGTACTGCGAGTGTGTATGTGTAATGCGTGTCTGTGTAATCCTCGTGTGTATGTGTAATGCGTGTGTGTGTGTGTGCATGTGGCTCCAGATGACCGCAAGGAACAGCAGCACCGCCTCTTCTCGCACTACACGGACCCGTGCCGCCTGGCGCCCGGGCGGGACAAGCCGTGGACGGTCGGTGCGTGCCGCGCTCCCCAAAGGGGGAGCTCAACACAACCCGACACAAATCTGCCTGCCGCCTGATGAAGCTGGTTGTAATTACTGGCGAAACGTCATACTCACAGATTGTAAATGTTGTGGCTTGGCTCTCCAACACACCGGTGTGCTGTACTAGTATACTACACTATACACTACACTACACACTAGTGCTGTACTAGTAACGAATTGGCCACGTTCTGTTTACGTGTCAACCCTTAGGAGTTGGCTGTGTCGGGTGGTGGCGGGTTTTAACGACACATTTATATATTTACGTGATCTATCCCAAAAACCTCTATTACAACTCAACACCAAACCACCGTAAGGACATGAGGACCCAAAACGTCGGAGAGCCGTACAGCCCAACCGGGAAATCCTACTGGGCGGGGGTAAAACCCAAACGTGCGTGTCTCGCATTGCAAACAAAACACGGTGGCGACCTCTGAAGTCGGATCATTCAACGATATTTTCACCCGTAGGCCGCACAATACAATGGCATGCCACGTGAAGTCGTATATGTTACACCCGCAAATGTTTTGATGCCGCTTGGCGTCGTTTACACCTCCGCACGAGACCACCGATCAGCGTCTCTCGTCTGCAGCTCTCTCGTCTCCGTCCCTCATTCATGTCTCTCTCTCATTTCACGAATCTCTCTCTCGCGTTATATCCCGGCGGCTCGTATCTCTCATATCCAAGAGCCCTTCGTGAGCCACGCCTGTCCCGTGGGCTGCCAATTGATGAAGCCCGCTGTTTAAGCTCGGCGGCGGTCGGCTCTTGCGGCCTGCCCGCGTCCCGCGTGCCATCACAAACGCACGGTCCGTGTCACTGCTCACGCACGGAGCCAGGCGAATCCGCGCGCCCGCGTATCCGCTGCTCGTGGGACGACTTGGACCGCTTGGCGCGAGATCCGCCGCTGCGGACGGAGACGGCGGTGCAGGATCGCGAGGCGCGGCGGGTTTATTTGACGACTCGGCATCCTTGCGCCCGGTGGGACAACTTAACGGCCCATCGTAATTTCAGCTCTGTCGAGCGACTCGATGGCTCCGTCGTGATTCCGCTCGGTGAGGCGATTTTGACGACTCGGCGCATCGTTGCAGCTCACGGGATGACTCGGCGTAATTGTGCTTTGGGGACCGTCGAGGCGACTCGGCATCAATTTACCCCTTGCCTGCTCCCCCCCGGGGGGGGTTCGCTGCCACGTGCCACTCGCGCGGCGGCGGCGGTCTCCGCGGGTGCTGCCGCGGCACGGGGAAACCGTAACGAGGGTCGTGCGGGACCGTCGATGTGCCCCGCCCACCCGCCCACCTGCCCGCCCGCCCACCTGCCCGCCCGCCCCCCAAGTCGTGCGTTACGACCTCCGTGTTTCCACGCTGCAGGGAGTCGTGCGGAATGAGCTCGCGTTGTGTGGCCTCCTCTGTACGTTTCGACGGCGGTGCCGAGCGGTGCCGAGATGACCTACGGTCGCCGGTGCGTGCGTAGCGGCTGCCAAACACCACGTGACGGCCTCCTGCCGCTCTGACTCTGTGTCGGTTTGCGCCGTGCGTGCGTGCGCGAGGGCGGGAGCGGTGGTGCAGCGGTGAGCGCGCCGTGTTACGAACCCGGCGTCATCACGGCCAAAACCGATGACGATTATCTGAACCGATTCTGGGCCTCCCCTAGGTCGACTCGACCTCAAAGCGGTACCTGGTGCGATGTGTGAACATTGCCACTGGGGAGACAAAGGCGGTCAGGCGTGGTGCTGGCCCATCCGCTCTCTCGTGTGCCGTTCCGGCCTTCATAGATGGTCGTTTAAAAGCACTTGTCCCAACAGCCTGCTCAAGGCTCTACGGGGGGGATCTTTGTCTTTGTTTTGCGTGAGTGCGAATATCAATAATTAAACATAACACTGAAGCTCGTCGCTGTTGTTGACGATAGCAACATTAAGAATGACGTCTGAGTGTCTTTTGTCAACACACTGCTGGATAAATGCCACCCGACGCCATACTTCACCACGCTGGTCATTTGGTGAAAGGCAGGTCCTCAGGGCAGGTTAGGTTATCACTCGCCCCTAAGGATAGTCGGGGCCAATGGCGCGGAGCCAGGATTTTCAGCTCGGGGGGGCAACCCCTCGAGCAATGCAAAATGATAGAGGAGTTGTTAGTGAGTAAGGAGTTGTTAGTACGTAAGGACTTGTCCCTTGCTTTTTATTCGACGCGTGTGCGGCGATGGCGCAGCCATCGATCGAGGGTCGAATTCGAACCGCGTTGTGTGATCGGCATCGCGCTCGCTGAAGGTGTGTGATGCCTTCAGGGAAGTCGTGTACTGTATACGCAACTGCGCACAATTCTGTGAGTTGCTTATAACTGCTTTGCTGTTACTTATTGCCAATTATGGACTCAGACTATTGTCCTATAATAATATGCTACACAATGGTAGTGGGGGTCGCAAAATGCCGATTTATTACTAATAAACCCCAATGATCCGATCGAAATGAGCGATTTTGATCGGATCATTGGGGGGGCACTTGCCTCCCCAACCCCACCACTGGCTCCTCCTGTGGCCGGGGTTGATGCTACAGCGGAGTGCTCTAACCACTGCGCCAAAATTCTCCCCAAGATAACTATATAACAAAAAATAAATTATTTGGTTTGCGGTACTGCGATGAACGCACACCAGAGTGTTCATGGAGGGCTTTCGCCCAGCGTCATTTTGGTGAATAATGACCGCCCCTGCTGATGAGGCCGAGTTTTATCGTTCAAATAAATGCCCGCTGGGCTCAATATGCATTTGCTCGGAATGGCACGCAGGCCAATGGACACGGACGTTAGGTCGTATTACAAAAAGACCTTCGCTCGTTATTGGATAATATAACTCGACAGATTGTTTTATTCTCGCAATACTTATGTAGCTCTTGTTAACTGCCACCATATCTGTGGGATGGTCATTCCCAATTTCATGAAATGATTATCCGTCTCCTTGTTTTCGCCCCCGAAGTGACGTCACGTGATCGTGGGATTGCTCGTTATTGCGTGAGCAATGTTTGGTGGTGGAACAAAGCACCGCTTGGTTTGTGCGAGCATTGGCCAAGAAACCTTACGTTTTAAGTTCACCATTCAAACGATAAATGACTTGAGCAATGAACCCATAACGTTCTGCGATTTGCCGCGATATAACTCTAGTGCAGTTCCGGGGGGGGAGCTGAGCGAATGTCTCATAAGCGTCTCTGCGGAGTTTAACCGAGGCTCGCAACGGCTCACCACGTAGCGGGGGGGGGGGGGGGGGGCGCTAATGGTCTGCCGCCCGCCTCCCGGGCTTCTCTCTGGGCCTCCGCGTGAGCAGCTCGCCGGCGGCGGCTCGCCGGCGGCGTCTCGCCGCGCCGTGGCTTCGGCTTCGGCATGCGCGATCGTTTGGCAGCTTTTAACGATCGGCAAAGGTGCAGCCCCCGCAGTCGCTCGCTCGCTCCCTGCCAACACTGGCGGAAGGAGCCTCTGCTAGAGAGAGAGGTCCAGGGCATCCCTCTGGGGAGGGTATTTTTGGTCTACTCTTCCATGCTGGACGGACGTTTTGGGAGACGTGGTGGCTTTTACCCACATTTTACCCCACCACACGTGACCTGCTGACCGGCTAATGGTGCTGCACCCATTGATATCACTGGGTGGACAGTGGCCGGGTGGAATTCGGGAAAAACTTGGCCCAATCGTCGCAGCTGTCGCGCCGTGGAGATGGAATTGAACCGGCGACCTCTGGATCGCAAACCCGGTGTGCTACTAACCATTACACACCGCAGCAGCAGCATCCCGGTCATGTGGCGTGCGAGTCAGATGGACGCGTCACGCACCGAGCGCGCTGTGGTACATCTACGTGGGGTTTGTAATTGGGGCGGCCCCCAGCGGGGATCGCAAGCGGCGGTCGCGGCGCCGTCATTTAAAGGGGATACCAAGTGCAGCGCGGTGTCCGGTATCGTCGCCGTGAACCGAACGGTTTTTGTTGTACACAACAACGGAGGCCCGTGGCAGTAGCCGCCAGGGCTATGCACCCAAATCGTTCGGTCTGTTTAAGCGGGGGAACAGTCAACCCCGGAGGGGGGGGGGGGGGGAGAATCTATTGCCTCATTCACGTAAAAAAAACAATAGTCGAGTCCGTAGAGCAATCGTTTTGTAGATGTAATGTGGGGCGAGGGGAGGGGATGTGGAAACAAACATTGTGGGGGGTGGCTGGGGGGTCCCCGGCTTGTATGGAGGAAGAGGGGAGAGGGAGGGAAGAGAAGTAGCGGGGTAAGCCGGAGGTTACGGGGAGAGATGTGGGTGGGGGGGACCTTATTAACGAGCGGCGAAGACGCACGCGAATTTTTAGATGAAAACGAAAACCGGCCGTGGGCACCCGCAGCGCGAACCGTGCGCGCCGTTCTCTCGGCGGGCGGCGGGCGGGGTGCCGTGTGGGGTGCCGTGTGGCAACCAGAGGTGAAAAGGGAACGGAGAATGATGAGGCCGCACTTGTCGCCCGGGAGAGCAAAGCGGTTGGAGGGGGAGAGCACGGGGGGGGGGGGGGGGGGCTGGGCGGAGGTGGTTTGCAGTGAGAGATGAATCAGGGGTCATTCTGACCATAGGGTTGATGGTGACTTTTGTGCGACCTATGACCTCCTGATGTTTGTGTGCCGGTCGTGGGGGTTGTTGCGCGATACTTCCCCACACTGGTCAGTGCAGCTTGGTAAAGGATGGGAGGGGGGGAGTGGACCGGGCTGGCTCAGATCGACCTCGCACTCGCCAGTGATGTTGGCCACCGCGGGAATTGAACTGGGGTGGCTGGGTTCTTGGCGCAGCTGCGTCGGCGCTCCGCCCACGTTGCTGGTGAGCGTGGGTGGTGGTGGTGGTGGTTGTTTTTCTGATTAGTTTTGTTGCTCATGGCTTTTTTTAGGTTATTTTTTATTTTTGCTATAAAATTAATTTGCACTTTTCATTTGAAAAGCACTCATTTGCGCGAACCCCTGCCGCTGTCGACTTTGGGGCGGCGGTTGCGGGCGCCTCTGTACCTCCTTCCCCGAGGGAAGCGGAGAAACAAGACAAAGAAATCGGCCCCTGATTAGTTTCCGAGCACAAACAAAAATCCCCGTTTTTGTTCGGCGCGCGCGCGGCGAATGCGAACAGCGGTAAAACTCCGCCGACGGCGTTTTGTAACTTTCGCCGGCGCTGCGAGCCGCCGTTAAGCCCCTGTTGGTTGACGAGATGCCGAGCTGTTGTTTGGTCCTCGCGAGGCTCCGCGCTTCTGCCGGTGCCGCCACGGAAGGGCGAGATTGATTGAGTGCGTATTTAACCCGAAGGCTGCTCTCAGCGTCTGCGCGCAGACGACTGCAGCTGCGATCGAGCGGCGGAGTGCGTTCAGCCGGCCCTGGCGCACGCGTGCGGGCAGCGGTGGTGTAGTGGTTAGCTCTACGCTGCGCTATGAAACCTGGCGACCCGGGTGCGAATCCTGCTCACGGTCAACACCGGTGACGATTATCTGAACCGGTCCTGGTCCTCCCCTAGGCCCACTCAGCCTCACATGAGTACCTGGTGCAATGTGTAAACATCGCCACTGGGGAGACAAAGGCGGCCGGGCGTGGTGTTGGCCACCCACCCCCTCGTGTGCTGTGCCGACCTTCATAGCTGCTCGCTAAGAGCACTTGCCCCAAAAGTTTAAGGCTACACGGGGGATGTTTGTCTTTGTCTTGTGCGTGCTGGCGCCAGTCTCCCGATGAAGGAGAGAGGACGCTCGGCGGCGCGACCCAGAGCACCGGCGCCCCTGGGGTTCGTGCTGCCGTCACGGCGGTCATTAGAAACGCCTGGTGATGGTCTGGCGGTGGCCTGGCGATGGCCTGGCGATGGCGAACCTCGGAGCCGGCGCCGCGGACGCGGTGGCTCGAACAGTCGCTCTTTGGGAGCGCGTGAGACGCGTGGACCCACGCGTGGAAAATGAACAATGTCTAATATTTGGTCTCGGGGAAAATTGCGATGGAGCTAATCCCCTTATCAAATGCAATCTAGCATGATTATTGAGCAGGCAGTCTGTGTGTGTGTGCGAGCGCGTTTGTACGTGTGCGCGTGAATGATTTTTGTATTGGGGCAAGGCGCTGTGTTGATTTTCGCATGAAGATTGCGCTCGATGCGGGAGTCGAGGTTGGTGGGTGTGGGCAGGATGCGCGAGCGCAAATCGGTGCCGGACAATGATCAACAGAGGATGAGCTTGGGGTGCAGTGGTGGTGTGTGTGTGATGTGCCTGGTGTGTGTGTGTGGTGTGTGTGTGTTGTGAGTCTGGTGTGTGTGTGTGTCTGGTGTGTGTGTGTGTTGTGTGTGTGTGTGTTGTGTGTGTGTGGTGTGTGTGTGATGTGTGTCTGGTGTGTGATGTGTGTCTGGTGTGTGTGTGTCTGGTGTGGTGTGTGTGTGATGGGTGTGCCTGGGGAGCTGTAGCGCAGTGGTTAGTGTGCTGCGCTACAACCTCGACGACCCGAGTTTGATTCCCACAGTGACGATTATCTGAACCGGTCCTGGGCCTCCCTTAGGTCGACTCGGCCTCAAATGAGTTCCTAGTGAGGTGTGTAAACATCCCCACTCGGGAAACGAAGGCGGCCGGGCGTGGTGCTGGCCACCCACCCCCTCGTGTGTGCCGTGCCGGCCTTAATAGGTCCTACTCGCTAACAGCACTTGCCCCTACAGTCTGTTCAGGCTATATGGGGGATATTTATCTTTGCCTGTGCATGTGTCGTGACGGTGTGTTTATATGTATGTGTGCTGAGGCTCTGTGTGTGTCCTGTAGTGATCTCTGTGTGTTTCGTGGTGATGTGTGTATGTGTGATGGTGCTGGTGTGAGTGTGTCATGTCAGTGTGCGGTGGTGGTGGTGGTGCTGCACATGTTGTAGGTGACGTGTGACGCCCGCTCTCCCGTTAGGGAGGCGGGTGAGTTGGCGCGGTAATTGGTCTGCCTCTCCCGAGACCCGGGGCCCGGTAATGGCACCACTCGGCGGTTTTGCAAAATGAACGCGGCACAGTGCCTGTGACCCGCGGCGTGGGCCGCCGTGCACTCCCGCCGCCGCCGGCGGCGTCCGTCAGCGTCGCTCGTCTTCATTTCCCTGATAGAGAGCCGATGAAGGAAATTCCCTCCCCCGCGGTTGAGGCCGAGGTTGAAGCGGGAGCGACCCGCAACACGCAGTTAGGGGAAAGGCCACTCTCGCGCGGGAGACACGGACTCATTAAATACGCCGCGTGGTCCGCCGACGGTTCCTCTTGCCGAGCGCGTCACAGGGTCACTTGCTCGCTCGCGGAACGTTCGGCGTTCGAGGCCCGGCGGCCGCCCCTCGTCCACATGGGCGCATCGAGAACCACCGAGCGTATCGACCATAAATATCTGCCGGTTGACGTTAAAACATCCCGTTCACGTCATTGACTGACAATTTTGCCACATGAAAAAAATGTGCCCCCCCGCAGAGTCAATTCACGGGGTAAACCACGCAGCGCCCCTTACTGGCAGACCAGACCCTCCGCTCTGTCGTTGCCTTGTGTACTGGCAAGGCAACGACAGAGCACTTTCGTGACAGGCTCGCGGGTTCCGAACGTGCTCGATCGCAACCGCAGTTGTTATTACGGACGCGCGGGCACGGGGAGGTTCCCGCGCTAGCTCCGAATCGTGTTGAGTAATTTTGCGATGAGGGGAGGCATTTGTTCCTCTCCCGGCGACGGGAGCCACCACCGCCCCGCTCGGCAGACGCCCTCCCCGCTGCTGCTGCTGCCGCTGCATTATCGGATTGTAAAGGGGTTCTTTCTCCCAGGGGTATTCAAAACGGGAATGCATTCAGCCAAAGCGCTCCGTTTGAGGCTTCCCCAGGGATGTGCAATTTTGTGATTTGGAGGCCTTTCAGCCCCGCGATGTCTCGGCCGGCTTCGGCCCCATATCCATTGGCACCACCCGCGTCCCTCCTCGCCCGCGTTTGGCCAGGAATCACCAGAGATGAAGCTGCAGTGGCTGCCTCGGGGGGGGGGGGGGGGGGGGGGGGCGGCAGCAGTGGTGAATAAACACGGCCGTTGACTGTCGAGGCAGGCGAGATCGAAGCGGCGGCCTTTGGATTGCACAAAAATCTCAGCGCTTTCACCAAAAACGCTGCTTTCAAAGGAAAAACATGTAATATAGGCGACAGTCATCTTTCCAAAACAGTATAGAGCACATTCTCCGACTCGTATCTACTCTATCTCCCTGACCTCTCTATTTATGTGCGACGAAGTATGACCATTGCTTGAAACGTCGCCTGTTGTGCATTTTTCTTTGTTTCACGAACGGTTTGAGTTTTTCCGCTTGCGAATCCCCCAATGCGCCGATTGCCCTTGTAATGGAAGACGGCCGCGTTTTGCCAGATTGGCCTCATTAATGCGTGACGGATGGAATTAACTCCGCGTGGAGGAAACCTTTACCAATTTGCGTGGATGCACGTGGCAAGCCAGGTGATGTACGTGTGGAAAACAGGCCCTGGCGTGTCGTGGCATTATTTTGTTTCCCGGCCTTGGTATAAACAGCTGCATTGGAATAAAGCAAAAAATAAATAAAGGGCACAGCTTAGAGCAGTGGTGCCACGTGGTTGGCATCAGCCCTGGCGCAAAAAACTCAAAATGAGGGCCCTCTTTACAACTTCTCCCCTTTTATCCTTAGCCTGGTGCCCGTGCCCCTCCAGCCCGTGGGCCCCTGTGCAGTTACACCGCCTGCACACTTGGAGCCTGTGAGAGTGACGTGCGTTTGGTGCGGAGGAGGCGGCCGTGGCCATCCCCCACACACCGACGTCTCCGCGACGCGCTACCGTCGCTCCCTCTCGTGGCTCCCCGTTACGGCCGAGCTTCCGATCTCCGAGAGGGAAGCGCGAGGAGCACAAGGGCCGGGCTCGGAGAGCGAGAGACGTGCCCGAGCTTTGGTGCGTGAGGCTATCATTCTTCCCAAGAGTCTTGTGCATCCTCGTGTCTCCGTTTGATTGTGCGTTCGTGCGTCTGCCGCAGGAACGCTGCTGCACTGGCTAAAGCTTCACAAGGAGAAGGTGTCGCACCCCGAGAGCCTGCAGAAGTGAGTGAACGTGTCGGGGCAGAGAGTTTCGTGTGTCCGTACCCTGCAGAGTATCGTCGTGTGCTGTGTGCTGATGACCAAGTCACCAAGGACCCAGGAATGCGCCTGGTCTTGGAAGCTATGCAGGGTTGAGCCTGGATAGCATTTGCTCGGATGGGTGCCCCCCGTGCATGCCAGCTTGTTAGGCTGCGGTGTGATATGGTGGGCAGTACAGTCTCTTATACCTCACTTGCTGCCCGCCTTCACCGACTGGCACCGACCGCCACGACCCACAATGCAGTGCGCACGGTACCCAGAGTTATTTGTGCCGTGCCTACCCACAATCCTGTGCGTCCGTGCCCAGGGTGCTGGAGAACGAGGAGAGCCGGCGGGAGTACATCGTTCTGCTGCCGTTCAACTCGAAAGATCCTCCGGAGTTGGTGCCGGCCAACGGGCGCCGCATCGACTACCTGCTCCACTGCCAGGAGCACACCACCCCGCTCAGCACGCTGGTGAGAGCCGGGCCCGTCACTGATTCTTTAATGGGGGGGGGGGGGGGGGGTTGAGAGAGAGAACGATTCTGCTTGGCGAGTTGGAGGAAGGAGGGCGGGGAGACCGTTCAGTGGAGGAAGAAGAAAGCTCAAATAGGACGGGAAGAGGGGGGGAGTTTGAGCTGAGGACCTGCCACTGGACAGAGGTTTAATGACACAGAGAGTTATTCGTGTGCAGAGGAAGGCGTGTGGTTGCCTGCATCCGGCTGACATCTTCAACCTTAGGCATAGGGGCAGCAAGGCTATGGGTGGGGGCGGGGGTGGTATGGGGGACACCGGCGACCGAGGCGCTCGCTGCTTCTGACCGCGCTGCTTCTGGTGCTCCATGCAGGAGGTGGAGGAATTCACCTTCATCACGCAGCTCGCCGGCCTCTCCGACCACATCCCCATCTCGATGAAGATCCGCATCTCCGCCCGCCAGGAGCCCTAGAGCATCCTGCGTCGGATCCTGCGTCGCCGTGCGGCATGCGAGGGCGACTCTCGGCGTGCGGCACAAACCGAGGAGGAATCCCGCGCCGCGGTGCAGCCCTTGAGCTGACCTAGGCCGAGGCCTGTGGCCTCAGTCTGACCGACCGACCTGCGTACGTTTCGCTATCGACAGCTGCACCTCCCCGTCGTCACGGGAAACGCTCTCGCAGATGAACTTTGGCTGGCCTATCCGAGTACGCCGCCGTGATCGATTTGTCGGCAGATCGCGTGTGATGGAAATAGCTAGGAACAAAAAAAGGTCTCACCTCTGTGCCCCACGTGTGCCACTGGACGGGAGGTGATGGGTGAGGCATCTTCGGCGGTGGGGTTCGCGCTGCTTGGTGGCTCGTGGGGGATTTTGAGGCGGGATCGGCGGCGGCCGCCATATTTAAAGGGGCTTGAGTAAACGATCAAATGAATCGGTTTTTATTTTACGTGCTAATATTGCCCTCGATAAAGTGGGCATTGGTGCATGTTACAGCAGAATGGGGAACGGTACAGGGGGAATGGAACAGCACGAATGTAAAAAAAGACCTGTCACGATAGAAGTGTCTCTCATAACCTCGAGTCGATGAATCGGCTTTAATCTACAGCTAAAAAATCAATCCCGGTGGCGGTAGCGCTCTCGGCTGTTGTAAACTGTGGGGGGAGTACTGCGGTTCTCGTATTACTCGGTCCCACTGGACGAAAAAAAAACGAATCGCGAAATCGTTCAGATGCTGCTCCAATCCAATTAGCGTCGCGCTCATCGCCGGGAGAGTTTTCGATGTGGCCAGTAAATGAAAATTCTGGGCGCCAAAGGAGGCTGCGGGCGACGTCGCATCGTTTTCTACCCCGAGCGGCATAGGGAGCGCCGTCCCCTCCTCGTGGAGCCGTTTCCTGGATGGTGGCGACGTTGGCTGCCCGCTTTCGCACGCGAGTGTCGCTTTCTTACGGACTGACACCCGAGTCGATGCGGTTTGATACGGACACGGAAATTTTAGCTTTTTGTTGTTTTTGGCTGCAACTAACCGCTGGCAGTCCATCGTCGTGGACGCTTTGCTCAGAAGATTGAACGCCTTTGTTTATTTCGTAGTCGTAGCTTAGGATGAGACGGACAAAGCCAATATATTTTGACGGCAATGAGGCGCGCACACACGTACGCGCACGCGTGCGGTCGCACATTTCTCAAACCTCAAGGTTGGCGTCGAGAGTGGGAACCGCGGCGCGCGACTCCAAGGCTCGCGGCCCCCGGCGACAGCTGTTCGAGCCGCGAGGACTTCCACCGGGTCAGCTCGTGTTTGGGGTCACTCCGAGGCAACGCGCCATAACCCGTGTCCGGGATTACGGCGGATTAAGCTCTCTCCCCCGAGTCTGGTTTTATGTTTTTTTTGGTGAGCCATCCAGTGCCGATGATGGTGCTGGCGGTGGGCGGTTTGGCGGAAAGGGACGAGGGGCCACCGTGGTTACGGCGTCTCTTAAAAGCCGCTCCTTTCTTGCAGAATTTGATATCGTCGTCGGATATTTTAGTTTATGCGTACACACTTATACGTATCTTCCCGCCAGCCCCAATAACCTTAATGCAATCTCGCGCGAGTGCAATTTACATTCCACTTTCGCGGGGGTGGGGGGCTGCTGCGGCAGCGTTTAGGTGCACGGATGGCGAGTGGCAGTACGCTCGGGGCGCCGCGGTGACGTTGAGAAGCGGTGGTCTTGCAAAATCGCCTAAAAGGGACGCGGTGTGAGTTCCTGCGCGTGCATGGGAGTTACTGAATGATGCCTGAGAGGGTGGATGCGATCGCATGGCTGTCGAGGCATCCCTGCTTCCCTATGCTTCTACAGGGCCATGTGTCGACATAGAAACAGGCCAGCAGCCGCGCGGTCAGCTTTAACAGTTTACAGTCGTAAGGAAGCCTCGTGAGCCGTGATGGTGGGCCAGTCTGTGCCCGCGATGTAGGAGGAGGGGTGACTGTGGCCCGCGGTAGCTCCCGTGTGGGTTGGTGCTGCTTGCGCTGCTGCTTGGTGTGAACCAGCCAGTAGAGCCACCTGGTGGCCCTGCATGGTGTGGAACCGCCTTGAATGCCGTTCTTGCACTTATATTAAGAAGTGGATTTTTGCCTGCCGCGATTTTAAGGAGTTAACATTTTTAAGTTTTATCTTTGAATGTGTTGTGATTTTTGTTTTGTTTTAAGTTGCCGTGAAATCCTCGGGAGAGTTGTTTTTTTGGCCTCGAGAATCCGAGGATCGTTATTTTATGGTGGCATGGACGGAGACCCCTCTTGTTGTTTAAATTAATTTTATTAAATTTGACGGACCGAGCTAACCGGCCGCTCTCGCTCATATCCCTTTCCCACCGGTACATCCGAGCTGTGCCGAGCCAACCCAGCACGGCTCAGAAAGCCCTGGGTTTGGTTTTTTTCCACTGCAGATGCAGAGCAGAGCCGTGCCGCTGACGTCGCACATGACGAGCGAGTCGAGAGATCCACACAAATGCCGTGGCGACGCCGTTTCCTCACAGTGTACCGACTGACATCACATACAACAAACGTGTTGTTAGCTCTGCCCATGGCCTTGCCGTGCCCCCCCCCCCCCCCCAAGTTAGATTCGGAGGTTTTTGCGATGCTGGCCTATCGCAGATTTGGTTCGTCTTGGCTCTGCAAATAGCCAGTGGAACACCACGTGTACCGGGAAGGCCCCGTGATGGCGTGGCTCGTGTGTGCTTGTGGTGAAGGTGTACAAGGTCGAGGATCTAGAGATCCAACGTCCAAACCAAAGCAGCGAAACGCCTCAACGCCCTCCGCATGTGGCCAAGCGTAACGAGCCGAAGCAAGTGATGCCGCGTGGGTCTGTTTCACCGGCAGGGGGGAGGGGTGGGGGTGGTTCATGTTGCATGCTGGCGAGTGGCGGCTGCTGGCCGTTGTGAACCTCTCGTTGCCAAAAAAATAAAACGCGTCCCGTTTTTGGAGGAGCTGCTGACCGAGGTGCCATTGTGGACTGGGCTGGGCCGTTTGCAGCGAGGCCCACGGGCGCTCGGGGCGGCTCTGGGCAGCTTTGAGCTCGCTTTGTGTTATGGGGACTTTTGGGCGGAACCGGTGACTGAACTCGCTATTACGGTCGAGGTGTAAGAAGCTACGAGCAAAAACTTTTGGGATGAAAGTGTAAAATAAAGGGCATGGTATTTGGGCAAAACATATATTCTTTTTGTTAAGTTTACATTCTGTAATGTTTTATGGTTTGCAAAAATAAATGGTTTCATCCTAAATGAGCATGTGGCTTAGTCGCGAATATGATAATGCCAACTGTTTACCCAGGACATCTCACCGAGCCTCAGGACTTATTATCAAAGGGCCCTGGAACATTGTGATATTTTGTAAATTCCATCAACTAGAGCTTGGCTTCATTTTGGAGGAAGATTTGTGAAGACACCTGTAAACGCGCATTAATTGGAAAATAACTCCTTCATATACAGAGGACTGAAAGCTCAGGATATTGTTTGAACTTGTCCATCACGTCACTCCCTTGCTGGTCTGTGGTTCCTCGTGCCTCCGAGTTATTCCATGTCTACTTTAGTGAGTGAATACTGTGGAGCGTATTATAAAGTTGAAATTATTATTGTGTTGTTTACAAAGGAGTTCAGTCACACCCCCAGTGATTCTCTGAGCAGGGAAGGACAAGAACCTTGAAAACATCGGAACTTTGTCCTCCTTCTGGGAAAACCATCTCGCCAAACACCGAACAAACGAAATCTATTACCCCGTAGACCAGTCCCAGTCGTTTTGAGACTCTCTTGCAAAACTCTTTGATCTAAATAAGCACCACCAAGGCGAGTGAACCGATGTAAGACCTCGCCATCGAGACATTTGCCATCTGTACATTTTTATTTTACAGCGATACCTATCTCCGTTTCTCACGTCACAGCGAATATGCTTCACCTTGCCGTGTTGGTTTCTAATTTTCACTCTGTGTTCGTATATAAGCGTCGGCACAATTGCCGATTGCAGGTGTTGGCAGGTGTTAATGAAATAAAACGAAAGTGATGTGAAGCAACCTGGGTCACAGGGTCGCATTGTAGCCATCCTCGTTCGCGTAGCGAGGCATGGCCCTTCACCATTGGCCTCGTGTGAGGAACGCACACCTGGGTTGACCGAGTTTCACATCTACAGGGCAATCCCAACGCCGATAGGTAAAAAGGTAAAGGTGCACTCCTGCAATTTCATTTTCGTGCCACCACTGGTGGCAAGGCCTCCTCTAGAGGGAGCAATAGAGTGCCCCTCCAGAGGGTATTTTAGCCGACTCTTCCATCCTGGCCAGGCGTTTTGTAAGAGTTGGGAGTTCTTTCGGTAAAGTCACGTAGAAGGGAAATAATAAAACAATAAAACTATAAAACAATATTGCTCTATTTTATTATTTCCCTTCTACGTGACTTTACCGAAAGAACCAAGAATATGAATCCCTGCAGTCACGAAAGCTTTAAATCTAAATTTGACCTACCGATTGTTTCACCGTGGTGTGTCCATTTCTACTATCGGATGGATCGAGATGGGGGGGATTTAAGAAACTTCCACCATTGTTATAGCTTCTATGCCGGGAGATGGGAGTCTAACCGGTGCACCCTGGATCGCAAGTCCAGTGTTGCAAACCATGATGCCACGGGCAGCAACCAAATCACAATGACTACAATGCAAAAACATTACGTTGAAGCCTATTTACATCCTAAAAAAATATTAACAAATATAAAGTGCACCTGGTAGAAATCATCATCATCAATCTCCTTGCATCACGATTCTCGTTGGTAACCAACCACATGTGTAATCATCTACAAAAACTTCGATTATAAATGTGTATTCTTGTAACTTTGGTCAATAAAAACCCTTAACTCTAACCCAAGTATATCACAGGTATATCAGCACTAATACCCATCCATCAGAATCCTAATCCATCAAATATACAGTTTTTTTTTTAAATGAACACTTTCACCATCAAGACCACGACAAGTCAAGTGAACATTTACAGCACTCGCAGATTTCATTTTCACTACATCTCATTTCCGCGCAAGCACAGCTGCAGGCAGAAAACCCACGGCTGCTTCTTCTGCCGTTGCCGCCGTTTGCATGTACTGTGCATGCAAAGCCCTTCTGCCAATCCACTGCTGGATGAGGGCTTCCCCGCACCGTACGGCTCATGGAAACCACTTGACCATACGCTGGTCAGCGCTGGCTGGCCAAGGCGGGGAGCAGAGATGCAGGCGCACAGAAGTGCAGTACAACGCCGGATTCTGCTGCACCGCCCTCTGCTGCCCACGACGTAGCCCCCGCAGCAGCCTGCAGTTCCCTGTCGGCGGTGCGCGATGGCCGCCCGTCCGAGCAACTATCCAGGCTCATGGGCACCCTCCAAACTCGGCCCGCCAGCCCCGTGGGCCCCCGATCCGCATCTCCCATCGCCGCGCCCCCCACCCTATCTCTTGAGCGAGTCGAGGAAGCCCTGCAGGGAGCTCTGGAAGGCGCTGATCATGAAGGCGCCCACCTCCGCGCCCGTCTCGCGGACGTCCGAGTCGAAGCTGCCGTAGAGCGGCGCCGACGTGGCGATGTCGCCGCGCTTGGCCTCGACCAGGATGGCCTCCAGCTCCCCCTGCACCTCGCGCAGCTTCTGCCGGTCGTGCGCCTCGAGGGCTTCGTCCGACGGCGGGAACTCGGTGCCCGCCGGGAAGCAGTCGGTGGGCACCGGGTACTCGATGACGCGGAGCGTCGGGTAGCCGGCGAGCCACGCGAACAGCCGCCTGAGGCCCAGGCGCGACATGGGGTTGCCCATGAGGGCGAGGCGCTGCAGGCGCTGGCAGGGGCCGAGCGCGACGAGAACGAGAGCGACGTGCCGGTCGCGCACGTCGCACTCCTCGAGGCGCAGCGAGCGCAGCGTGAGCGCCGCGCGGTGCAGCAGCTTGAAGAAGGTGGCCGGGTAGAGGGTCGGGAGGCTGTGGCCGCTCAGGTCGAGGTCCTCGAGAGCCACGGCGTGCTCGCTGTTGGCCAGATACGCCAGGTCGACGTGGTTGAGCTCGCACCCCGACAGGTCGAGCACGCGCAGCGGGGCCTGCAGGGCGCTGCGCTGGTGCCACGCGGCCGAGACAACGAGACGCGAAAGTGAGACACGGCGACAAGATACGATGTACGTACGTTGAACTTCTTTCGCACCGTACGGTCAACCGCGCTAATTGGAGGTTGCAATGACGGGGCGTGACGCGACGCAACATTGCACAGATAAATAACACGCGTACAATGTGACTGAAAAATTACACTGCAGATGACTCAGTTGGGATGACACACAGCAGTAATTGTCGCCCCATATTATGAGAAAAAAAAAACTTGGAAGGACCCTTCGGGAAAAAAAAAAGTCTTGAGACTCTGTGAGGTTTTCACGGATACATGTGATGCAAGAATGCTCGACGCATTTCAATGAAAGAAGTGCGACCTTAAAACGTTGAACTCCCTTCCCGCCACATCACCCGGAATGGGCTATTGCACTTCGAATAACCCTGAAGTTCGCAAATGATGATGAAGCTCGTCAATTTAAAATAGAAACAGCCCAATGATCGTTTGCGTTAGTTGAGCTGCTCTTTAACAGCGTGGTGGTGTCGGTGCAGTGATTTGTGATTGAGATGCAATGTCACATTTGTTTTGTATCTTGATCGTGGGCTATGTTGTGAATAAAAATCACTGTGTCTGCAAGAGAGCTGTTTCCACTGCCAAAACAGAAAGCGTTATGTAAACAAAGTTAGACGAAGTCTAAAAGCCCATAAATGGGCGTCGCTGATTGGCCGAGGGCATGCTCAGCCAACTTACGAGCGCTCGGATTGGCCGAAATTGGCACCCGTGTGCATAACGTAAACATACCGTGAACATTTTAACGTTCGTCAAAACCATGGGGGTTCTACGGGAGGCGAAACGTTAACCGAAAAAACCGTAAACTGATGTCACTGTTAAATTTCGATTTAAAGCTTTCGTGACTGCAGGGATTCATCTTCTTGGTTCTTTCGGTAAAGTCACGTAGAATGGAAATAATAAAGTAATAAAAATACAACGTAATAAAATAATTCTCACGACGTTTCGGCCACAACGCAAGCAACCGTCCTCAGGTGAAGAACAGGTCTGTCGAGAAGACAGAGTCTGAATAACTGCTTTTTGTGTTTGTAGTCCTTCACCCGCACCTCCGATTAGCACGGTCGGCTACGTACGGTGCGAAAGAAGTTCAACACACGTACATGCGTACAACCCCGAATCCCGAGCTCACGCGGGGCGAGCGCCTACCTGAGCAGCTGGCGCAGGTGTCCCGTGAGAATGGAGAAGGGCAGGTTGAGCTCCTGCAGGAGGGGCAGGCCGGCGAGGCCGAGCGCCAGCGCGTCAAGGTGAGGGTCGTCCGCCTCGTGGAGGTTCACGTCGACGACGCGCGTCGGGAAGGTGATGGCGCGCAGGGCCGGCATCGGGAAGTCCATGAGCAGGTCCTCGAGCTGGCCCGGGCTCATCCGCACATTGTGGACCAAGTCCAGACGGCACAGCACGGGCAGGTCGACCGCGCCAAGCAGCTCGAAAATCTTGTCGCACGGCAGGCTGTCGGCTCGGAGCTCCACGCACCGGAGCGCCAGCGGCCCCGTGCCGCGCGCTCGCAGGGCGTCCATCACGACGCCGTAGTTGCGCTGCGTCACGAACGCGCTGGCCAGCACCTCGACGTGTCGAGCCAGGGCGCCCGCTTCCCGCTCCTCCCGTTGAGCCTCCACGCACGCCCGCGCCAGGGCCTCCGTGCGAGCCCAGCGGCCCATGCCGGCGCCGCACTCGCACTCCTGCGTCTCCGCGTCGCGCAGCCCCGTGAGGTCGACGAGGCGCAACGGCCTCCCGTAGCGCACCGGAGTCTCCGCGGGGCCGCTGCGGTCGTCCCGCACGTAGTCGCAGAGGCCGTCCAGCAGCGCCTGCAGGCACAGGCGGCACGTGCGCTGGCGCAGGTCCTGCTCCCAGTCGGGCGTGCGGCCCAGCAGATGGCCCACGCTCAGTATTGGCAGCGGCCAGTGGCGCACGATGAGGCGCAACGCTTCCGGTTGCTCCTCCAGGAAGGACAGCTTGAAGAGGAGAGGGTAGAGGTCGTGCGACACCTGCGGCAGCACGAGACGCGCGTCCGTTTCGTGTCGCAGCAGCACCCGAGCGCTCGCGAACCGCAGCGACTTCATCGTGGCCGCACCCTGGGCCGTCATACTGGAAACTGTGTTGCCCTCGCAGGAGCAAGCCGGTCTTAACGCACTCGCGCGATGGTCAGGTGACCGTCTGCACAGATGCGGCTAAAGTTAGCGGCAAGTATTTATAGCGGGGCGCGTGATGGAGAGCGCTGCCGCTGTCTGCAGCTGTCGAGTGTTTACACAGCAACTTCACATTGGCCACGGCACGGGACGAGGGGCCAGTGGGAGTGCGGGGTGTCTGTGGACAGACGATCCGGTGTTGGCGTGCTCCAAGGTTAGCGTACCAGTGGACGATGAATATCTGCGCAACTGCGGGGAATGCAGCTGGCAACAGTGGATCGGTAGCTTGCTTCCGAGCGCACAAAAGGGAGCGGGGGTCAATAACATCGTTGAATATTTTATTGTGATGATAAGTAACGGCAAACATGTATCCAAGTTTTTTTGTTTTACATCAAACATGACACACTACACAAATTTTTTTAGTTGGCTTCGTACAAATTTATGTTTTAGCCCATCGATCAAAACACAGTAACCATTAAAAAATGCAAATGTATCCATTACAAACAATATTGAGCACCATAATCCCACAGGACCCAATTCTTACATGTAAAAGCATAAAAGCGAAGACGATGAGGCCTTAATGAGGTTTAGGGAACAGCCTGACATTGTAAAAAAACTAAACTATTTTTATTTTACCAGGTAAGGCCCACTGAGCTATGTAGCTCTTTTTCAGAAGCGACCTTGGCACAAACGATAGCTAGACGAAGTGGCTTATCGTGTGGAAAATTATAGCAGCAAAATACTCAATGCATGTTGAGTCTAAATGTGGAGGAGAAAAATCCATTCGACCACGGGGAGGCATGCAAACTCCAAATATACCGGCGTCATGGTCGGGATCGAATCCACGACCTCCTGTATACCAGGCGAGGTAGTTGACATCTTGCCACCTGGGGCGCCGTCACTACTGGACAGCACTTCACAACTGCTCCACGGGGGTCACCTTGGGACCAACACAGTCACTGTGCCAACAAAGGGGTCATGGGGAAACACAAACCCATTGACAGGAAATATCAGAGTATCTGCAAGGACGAACTTTACACTTTACACTCGTCTTCGTGTTTGTGGCCTCAAACAGGAGGCAACACTGCAACACTGATTTCCTGCAAAAGGTGAATCCGGGGAGCAGTTTGCAGGAGAATTAAAATCCAAAAGTGTTGCCGCTCACAAACCGCAAGGGCCGAGTGCGTTTTACAATGTGGTGGTCACATGCCAAAGCATGGAAGCCACGATGGGAGTCGTGCCTTCTCTGCTGTTTGTGAGCAGCACGCCTTCGCGTTATGTTAAACATACATGCGCAGAAAAATAGGCAGGCAGGTCTTTTGACGATGGGGGTCATAGCACCATGGAGGATGGATCCCGGTCCTTTCAAAGCTGGGCCCCTTCCACAAGCCTCAAACCTTGATGAGAGAACACCTCCACCGGGTAACGTGGCCCCGATAGCACCAGTGGGCGCCACGTAGATACACAAAGCGAGGCACCTGGGAGACCACCGCCTCCTCCGCCACCTCTAAACGCAGTAGGGCACCAAACTCCCCAGTGCCCGGACTGCGATTGCCCTGCCCATAACATACGAGACGCGTTTTCCCATTACAATTCCGCCGTACACTGGTCTTCTTATTCTGTACATTTAGCAATATCTGTTTGCAGGGAAGGCTCTTTGGATGCAGGCTTCATGTGCCCTACCCTCACCACCTGACTTAACCCACACTCTACCCACAACCCCTCACTTCCGTCTCTGCACTGTATGATCGGATGCAGCATAGGCTCGTGCCACCATTAGCTAAGAAAGTAGAATTCCAGCGAAGGTAGAACAAGTGCCAGTGTATAAATCCCTTTCCTCTTGTCGTGGGGTTAATTAACACTATCCCACCTCTACCAAGGACCAGGCTCTCATATTGGGGCTTGGTGGGGGAGCCATTATCCCTCCCTCTACCCTGGACTTTTGTGCTCCGCTAAAAAGACAGTGCGGCATTGTAAGTCAGGTGCCGGAGGTAGACACATGAGGCCCGCCTCCAAAGAGCCTTCTCTGCATATGTCTTGTAGCTCTGCGGGATATTGCTAAATGTAAATAATAACACCGGTCAACGGTGGAATTTACTGAAAAAAAAAGTTTTACAAAGGTACAAAACCTCATTTTAGTTCTCATGAGCACCACAGATGGAGTGTAATCGAACTGCATCGAGGCAAACAATAGTTTCTGTATTCCAAAGACACGAGTGGCTCGGCCATGGCTTGGCTGAGTCTCAACTCGTGGGAATCCTGAGCACAGCTAAGACCATGCTCAGAGTTACCTCAAGTTAAGCGTGGCTTTGAGCCGGCCCACTCGATCCAGAACCAAACCACGTGGCATCGTGCGACACCTGTGTTAGGACAAAGACTATTAAATAAATTGCATGATCTAAAAATTCCATAACACGATCCAAAATTGCCCCTAAAAATCCAATATATTTTATCGAAACCTCATCATCCTGAGTGCATATGCATGTGGGCAGGCAGCAAGGGAAAGTCTGATGAGACGTTGGATGGGTGACGTGCGGATAATGAATGGGAGCCCTCGCGCAGAGCTCACGGCACCGTGTCACCGGACTCCGCGGGGCCTGGCAAGAGCCTCTCCCGCAACTCCTGCAGCTCGGCCGGGGTGCGGTGCAGCCTCTTGAGCCCCCGCGGTAGATTCCGGCATGACGTGAGGTTCACAGACGACAGCCGAGGACAGTGCCGGAGCACGGCACTGGCAGAGAAACAGGGATGGGGACAGTGTTTACCGGCGGTATAGATGTGGCAAGAACAGCAGTGTGGGTCTGGTGTGGCAATATTCAACAATATTTTCTGGTGAGACGTGTAGAAAACTGGTGTGCCACACCACGTCATAATGTGTGTGCATGTCATCACTAATCTGTACCTCTTGTCTACAGCTCTCTCATCTCCGTCCCCTGTTTATATCCCTTTCATTTTACATTGGATCTCATAGACTCGACTAGCCATATGGCTCAGCGGGTCTCTCCAAGAGGCTTTGCTGGCCACATTTGGCCTACGGGGCCACCAGTTGAAGGACCCTGTCGAATAGCAATGGCTCGATTTGGCTAATGTACGGACAGTGAGATGGTAACGGCTTGGTGAGATCTTCATCCAGCAGTAGATCGGTCGGGAGGCCATCCCCGCCCCCCTTGCCGAGGGGCTCAGGGTTGTGTTGCGAACAGCGCAGCGCAGGCCCCTACCTGACCCCGGCGACGGTGGCCACGGTGCCCGCGAGGTTGAGTGTCTCGAGGCGACTGGCCGCGCGCGGCACCGCCAGACTGAACAGGCCCTCCTCCAGCTCGGCCTCTCGGCAGGGCTGGGAGTTGACGTCGAGCGCCGAGAGGCTGTGGGCCCAGCGAGCGAGCACAAGCTGCACGTCGCGTTTGAGCCGCGCCTCGCATGCCGTGCCGAGGTACAGGCCCAGGTACAGCTCCTCGAGGTCTGCGGGCCCGCACGATCGACAGTGCGGGGTTCAGTGGCACAGCCTGGTTGGTGTGGCACCGGTGTTGGTGCAGGGAATGAAATCGGGCAATTTCCCCCTCACCTGTTCATGGCCCCGGCACCTGAGTCCCCGAACAGCTGTACCACGCCTCCCGAGTTCTTGATCGAACAATGCTGTTTGTTATTATTATTATACACTTGATGGTTACACTACTTAGTGATGGTTTTGCTGGTGATAACAAAGGTGGTGGGTTATGGTGGAGTGGCCTGCTTCTTGTATGCGCGCCATTCTTTATCTGGCTGTAGCAGACCGCTTTGAGAAACCTGGAGCTGTCCATCCGAATCACGTGTCCTGCTCAACAGAGTTGTGACTATATAGGATCACTGTCAGTTCCCATCATATGTCGTCTCCGAAAACACCTCCATCTCACTGCCTGTGAACTCTGCCTTGGCGCTCGATTTTACAAGAACATGTGTTACGCGTCCTCTAATATCAGCGCCCCCGCTCCCACAAGGCACATGGTCACCGCGTTTGTTATCGTCACCGTAGCAGGGCAGCTGCAGCAGGCACTTGGGCGTGATGGAGGGGCAGCCGCGCAGGTCCAGCAGCCGCAGCCGGGGCGAGCGGTGCAGCAGCTGCCACAGGGTGGTGTCCGCCATGGAGGAGCGGTCCATAGTGGCCAGGCTGAGCTCCTGGAGCTCAGGGAAGCCGCCCGTGTCCTGGTCCGGTTGCACGCGGCCCGATGGCGTTATGCACATGTTCATCAGCCGCAGAACCTACGCCGGGGAGAGGGCAGAGGCACAGTGTGAACAGAAGAGAGTGCCGGACGAGATTTAATCACTGGAATTGGCAAAGAAGCAGGAAACCAGCTATTGGGTGAAATTTGGTGGAACTACCAAACGTTTATACAGAATATTTACTCATAGACCCCTGCACTAACAGACATTGACCAGCGTGGTGAAGAACAACAAGATCAAAGCGTGATCTATCCTTTATTTAACCTGGAGTGGCTAAATACAGGTCCATTGAGGCGCATGAAACAGTGACCTGTGAAGGCCCGGTGCGGCATGTGGTAACGACATGGGACGTGGTTGCGGGGGCGGCACCTGCAGGTGCGGGCAGCCATTCTGGAGTCGCGTGAAGGGGAAGCTGAGCGTGGGCAGCTTGTGGGCCGACATCTCGGGGCTCATGGGCATCCGCGTGTCCACCTCCAGCACACGCAGTGCCGGGCAGTTGCTCTGCCAATCGCAAACCACACCTCACCTCACTCACTGCTCCACAACTCACAAAGACACTCGGTAACACAACAGCATTATTATGACTAGGGGTGACATGATCTCATCAGATATGGGAGGTTGAGCAGAGTGCTCGGATGCATGTCCACCATGCAAAAAATAGGTGTCGTAGGCCGCTTTGTGGGTTATTTTATCAGTACAGCAAAATGTTGTTGTACTGTACTTCTAAGGTCTCACATCTTTGTTCCCCACCTTCACCAACCCACACTGACCAGCATGGTGTAGTACAGTCAAATGATCCCCACAAACCGCATGATGAGCGGTGGCCCTCATCCAGCAGTAGATTGGGGGCGTGCTGGTTGAGCACGTACAGTTGGGCCATGTTTTGCAGACCTCAGTCACATGCTTCAGTAGTCATCCCAAAACAAGTATATCCCGTGAGGTGCAAGTATTAAAATCGAAGAAACCGGAGCTCATACCAGGTCTGTGTACTAATTACAGCTCATATTCTAAGCCGTACTTGTTTACTCCAATGTGTGTGCGTGAGGAATGGGGCACTGCTTTTCACCACTCATTTCAGGCCACCTCCCCCCCCCTCCCATTTCTCACGGCTCCTTGGCCCTGTGGCCACGCAGCCCTCTTGGTGACGTACGGAAATGGCTGTGAAGATGCCGTTCAGGTTGTTCGATGCTGTGAGCCACAGCCTCTGTAGGCGATCGCCAGCAGCCTCCAGAAACGCGACGGCAGAAGATATCTCCACCTGCACGACGGGGCACGAGACAACAGGACATGAAATGCTGGCACCGTCTGTGACACCTGCAGGACATAGGTGTTCACCCACTACAAACAACATCCTTACCACTCCTGCCACTCAGTGTTTCACTGGGCGGTTCCAAAAATAATGTTCAGAGTTCACTGGTCCTGCGGTGTGCAGCGCGGCCATGTGTTTAAATATTTAATCGATGACGCAAGTGTCACATCCTCCAGGGTCCACCAAAAAACGTGAGCCAAGACTTTGGAATAGACTTAAAACAGAGTTGTTCCAAAGAGTTTACTGTGTGATCAATGCGTATTTGTGATGGACCGTACTCAAAAGAGTGTGTGATAACACATGTTGACACTATGACATTCGTGTGTATTAAAGTTGAAGCAACTGTAGCCCATGGCAGGTCAGTTTAAGGACAAAACACGGCTCAAACTGGCCTTGTTTTCATTGTCATGTTTCTCTTTTAAAAGCTGTAAAATCCTGTACACTTCAATCTCACACGCAAGAGAGCAGTCTGTACAACGGTCATTTATTTAAAAGTCACGCAGACTTAAAAGTCACGCGCTGTGAAAGAAAAACGATTGCACGTGCGCCGAGACTCCACACCTGTTACCGAGATTTCATCTGGTGGCAGCAACAGCAAGGGCAGATGAGAGGGTGGTGTGGGGGTGTGCACGCTGCCTGCCCACGGGGAGGAGTTGTTTACGGAAAGGAGAGAGGCAGAGAGTCGTGCGTGGGACAGGGCAAAGCGGACGGCTCCTTACGCTGGTGTCCTTGAGGTCCAGGCTGTGTAGTCCGGCACAGGATTGGCCGAGCAGCAGCAGCGTCTCGTTGCCCGGCTTGGCGCAGCGATTGAGGCGCACGCACGACAGCTGCTGGCACTCCGAGCTCACAACCTGTGCGTTAAAACCAGGGGCAAGGTTAGAGGCGGAGCGATTTGTGTTGTATTTATTAAATGTTTTTGTTTTGCAATCGAATTCCACTTGTGCCATCGTCTTTCATGTCGCTAGGTGAACTCTACATTTGGCGCTCTTGCAGAACACGGTGTGCGTCATCACCCTTGCTAGAGAACAGCCACTGGAAACCGACATCGCTGACCTACTTTAGAGGTCTTCATTTGTTTTTTACCCACGTCAGTTGTCTGTCATATCACACACCATGCCATGGAGGCATGGCAATCACAATCAATTATGATTTTCCATGAGAGTTGACGTGTACCGAATTAAGTGGGGAGAAAAATCCCCCAACAATTTTGAGTTCACGGTTATTTCGTGCAGCCGATTGGTGACCCAGATCACCAACTCTCTATACTTGAGAATATTATTGAATACTGCTACATAGGCTTTCACAGTACATGATGCCGAACAACATGCCAAAACCGGCACACACATCAAAGAGATAAAATTATTTAATCATGGATGGTTGCCCAGCCTTCAACCGAGGATCTCAATGATGTCAAAACAGTATTTCAACACTTTGAGCCCTGAGCCACGTGCCATCTCTGTGACTGTGGTTCAAGGATTGACCCTTTGCCATGTATAGTTATCCATTAATATTCACGGGGTATATGTTCATGGAGAATGCCGCAAAGATTAAATCCGGGAATATGAATACTCAAAGCTCATAATGAAAATAGGGTTTGGGGTTATAAACATATATTGTTTAAATTTAAACATATACACTGTACGTATATATTAACACATTATATCGTATTGTGTTATTCAACTTAACTTTAATAATGATGAACATAAACATATGTAAAAGTGCAAATACCAAGGAATAAATATTCTATGCTATTATTTAAACGTACGTTTAATTATGTCACTTCCTTTTCGCTTAAGGGCAATGGCTCACGCTAACAAAAAATTGAGAGCAATCGCGTGTAAACAGTGCGGCAGAAATGTTTGTTCTACCATTGACCAGTAGATTGACAAAAGATTGTAGGTTATATTTATTTCCATTAAGTGATGCCCTTTACCCGCACGGCGTAGTCCACCATCTCCTGGTCATTCCAGCCACTCAGCTGAAACTCCTGCATCAGAGACAGCCTGTGGAGACACAAAGCCATTCCACCATCAGTACCAACCACCGAAGACAACTATTGGGTGTACGCGATTGACATTTTTCCATTGTCACACCTGAACCAGGTCATCGCAATGCTCTCCACTAGTGCTTTTCACTCGTTATTTGCTTTGCCAAGCAGTGACCAAACATTGATATGCTGGCCTCATAAGTTATCAAAATCTACCTCGGGGCCAAGATGGAAGAGGATTGGGGCTAATTATGTGTCCATTGCGTGTGACGTCAGTTATTAACACTGTGAGGACATAGCATAGCTGCTTCAACTATGGGGAAAAAAAACAACCCGGTGCCTTCCTACGCCACGCCGTCCTAGCTCGACACAGCCCCGGCGCGGCTCAGACGAGCCAATGGAAAAAGGAGTAGAATGGGACATTACCTGTTTGAGACGAGCCAGGAGAGGGTGCTTTTAATCTGGCTCTTGGAGGAGGAGCGACCCATCAGCTGCGGCTCCACACAGCAGCGCGAGATCTGCACCCGGCGCCATAGTACAGGGCTCTCCGCGGCGCCGCGCCACAGCCAGCAAACGCGCGCCGCCCTGCAGCCGGTCATTACTGTCCATCGTCATCATCGTCGTGGTCATCCGCAGCTGCGCTCATTCGTGATTTCTCCATTCAAAATTAACTTTGACTAAATCAACAAAAATGTGCACAATTTCATTAGATCTGGGGGTAAATCCGATAACCTTGGTGGAAATATATTATTAAACTAACTCAAAGACAAATTAAGACCATGGAACGTCTTACGTGGGTCTCATGTATCATGGCATTGGAATAGATACAAGCAGTGGCATAACTTGTTTGGCACACGCCCTCGTGTAAAGAATTAAATGGAGCCTGCTGTCCACCCCGCCCCTCTCGTTCCTCATAGTCCGGCGGCTTGGCCCCTCCGGCCTTTGGGCACCAGTGCAGCTGCACCGCCTGCACACAGGATAGCTACGCCATTGCACACAAGCGCGCACAAGCGCGCACAAGAGTGTGGCGAGACCGCCGATTTCTCTGGCGTGTCCCGAGTGCGCTCGCACGACGCGCCTCTAACCTGCAGAGGAACGGGACGGGACCGTCCCCGTCCACGACGCACTGGAAAATCATGATGAGCACCGCCTCGGGTAGAAGCGTCCCCCAGCCCACGTCTTCCTCCTCCACGAGCACCATCCCGGCCAACAGGCATGGGGGCACAAGAGGAGACACGAGGTTAAAGAGCAGGGATGAGAAACCTGCAGCCCCTGGGCCAGATAAGGGTCCACGACTTAATTTCACAACCACACTTTGAAGTGGAAAGCAAATGATATTTATCCTCAACTGCTCTCGAGTCACGCGACTACATGGGAACTGTGACCCGACATCAGCATGTTAGTGAGAGCAGGACAGCAGGTGCAAGCATCTCATTTGTGCATGAGTGCGTTAAAGGTGACCCGCTGATTATTCTTCCTATTATTGGACAACACTGAGGTGCCTTAATGTGCAACCTGCCAAAGGTATTCTGAAAGTCCTACTCAGGTGACAGTAAGGAAAAGCTTTTCCACCCGATGCATAGCGATGTTAAGGCTGCCTTTTCCCCAGACATTTTAAGACCATGCAGGTTAGTGACCTCAGAGTTGTGCAAATAAAACGTGACCATAATGTGTATTATCATCATTTACTATTTATACCACACAGGCCCGGCTCCAGCCCCTCTTGGATGGGGAGGGGGTGCAGTAGAGCTGCTGTGTGGGGGGCCATCGTAACAGTGATCTATACTGTTAAAGGGCATAGGGTCAATAGGTCAAGCAGGGCCAACCCCAGCACTCCCCAAGCACCAGGCCTGATACCACACTGCCCATGCAATACATCTTGAAGTGTGTGTTAAACACAACTGGGTAAGTTATTATTTAAGTCATTTTTAGACGCTTACGAGTAGACGGTGTTCCCATGACTCATCCGTGCACTTGTGACTGAGACCAGTCTCAATGCCTCAATGGAATTTTGCCTGCTCACAAACATATCACTTACCCCCATAGGTTCTCTTGTGGAACCCGAGGCTCCGGCCTTGCCGCCCTCCAACACAAATTTGCTCGAATTATCGCTCGTCTCTGCTCTTTTGGAGGCCGTGCTCTTGACGTGCTTTCTCTTGGCAAGCGTCTTCAACTTCTTCCCTTTGCCGCCGCTGTTCTTGCTCTTCGCACCCTTCTTGGCACCGGCGCTCACCCTCCTCCTGCCGCTTAGCACCGATCCGCTCCAGCTCGTCTCGATCACGAGCATGTCGTTGTCCGTGCGTTGCACCACGGTCAATTCAGCCTGAGAGGTGCGACTAGTTCGGGGCTTCTTGGAGACACCGCTGGCAATCACCGCCGATGCCTTTCGCTTGGCGGACGGCACGGTGCCGCCCTCTCTTGAGGCCATCCGAGCGGCTGCAGTGCGAGGGAGGATGGGGGAGAGTTTCTTGGTGGACGGCACCGCTCCTTATTTCTGGGCCTCCTATGATTACAACATGCGTTAAAGACGGCAGGTTTCAGCACAAACACAGGAACAGATTTCAACAACATCAGATAAAACAGACCTTTGATTAAATGACCCATGATGCACCGGATCTCGCCAGATCTCAGAAGCCAAGCATGTTTGGGCCTGCATCATGCTTACATAACTGATGTAATTGACTGCTGCTAGGCTATGCTGTGGGCATGCAGAGGGCAGTCCAGCAAAACCAGTTGTTTCACTGCACTGTTGCCTTGCAACGTTTTTTTCCCGTCTTGACCGACTAGCATTGACCAATGTTAAGTAGGACTGATCACCCCTTCTGTCATTTGCCTAGAATCTTACGCAGATCCAAATACTGGAGTGGGACGATGTGGACGTCCAGTCATAAACACCTCATTCGAGACCCAAACATCGCACCTCCTGGCTTTGGCATTCCTTGAACATACTGGTGGTGTAACTAAGAACCACATCAGAACATCAACAGGCCTGATGCTCACAGCTCCTTCATTCACGGTAAATTAACGAAAAACCACAGTGGGATTGTGGCCATACAACCCAAACTATGGCCCATATAGTAAGCAACGGTAGTCTGCGCTCCTTTAATGGAGGAATCGCAAAACTACACAAACTCTCTCTGCTGAAGCCCTCTCGTAGCTGGGAGGCCTCGATATTGAGCTCTTGAACATATTAATGCCATACGCAAGACAACAAACTGGAGGAAGAATGAATATATGATTGGAGGAATAATTTTAAGATAGGTTAAAGGAATGGATGAAGGAAGGAATTACCCGTGGGAAATGATGGATGATAAAATGAATTGTTAATATGAATGAACCGATTCAGCAACGGTATTTGATATGATAGAATGACGTAACATAATTACACATCACGGAATTAACTGAGGTTGCGAATCATGCACGGGCATATCAACCCATCGAACCACGAGTGAATGGCGGATCGGGGAATTAATTCGATTTTTAAAAATCATAACCCAAATACCGCACACAATCAACGGCTGCTGCTACCGCATTGATGAAGCGACTTACGGGCAATGGACGAGAGCCACGGCCACATCGAGGCAGGGCAGCGACTCATCGATTAACAACAACGACAATGACACAAGCGGCGCCGCGCATCCGCGGTTACCCAAGGGGTGGTGGACGCGACACCTCCGATGTGGCGTTTGAGGGCCTTCGTGGTGCCCAGGTGGTGGTGGTGGCAGGCACCGCCGAGGGGTTTGAGGGCCTTCGTGGTGCCCAGGTGGTGGTGGTGGCAGGCACCGTCGTCGTTGTCAGACGCGGGCAGCCGGGCGGCTACGGCCATCGACAGCGAAGGACGCGAGGGTGGTTCGCCGCGTCTTGATGCCGAGGCAAATGCGCGTCTCCCTGTTAAAAACAAACATTTTGTTTAAATTAGATTGTGTTTGTTGTACACGAGAAGGCGGCGGCGCTTGCCTTAGTAAGAGAGCCGCAGTTGGACCGGCGTGGGAGACGCGACTTGGCAGCGCCCGGGCGATGTTCTCACTTCGACTTCATGGACATTGCATGGAGTCCTCCTCCTCCTTCTCCACCTCCGGTCCTTCTACCCCATGGCCTCTCGCTCAAACACTCGACAATGTACATCGCGACCGTGCAGGGGCCGGCGCGGCAAACTCGTGAAGCCATTCGGCTGTAGTCGTCGTTAAGTGGGGGCGCGAACTGAGGAGCTTTAGAGAAGAAGCCACCTGCAGCCGCCGCCGCCGTCTTCGCCTCGGCGTGAGAGGACAACCGCCTACGTCGTCGACCTCTGAAGCGGCGATGTTTTCACTGACAAGCGGCTCTCAACGGTGATGGGGGGACAAGTCGATTGTCAGGGATCGGCACGTTCAGCAAACTCATTCATTCGAGTTAGAGCGAGCTTACGAGGCCGAGGGAGCGATTGCAGCCGGGCCACTTTTCTCCATTGTCAACACGGGGCGCCTTCCCTGAGCAAGATGGCGGAGGGGGTTCAGTATCCACACAAACACGGGGCGCCTTCCCTGAGCAAGATGGCGAGGGGGTTCAGTATCCACACAAACACGGGGCGCCTTCCCTGAGCAAGATGGCGGAGGGGGTTCAGTGTCCACACAAACACACGGGGCGCCTTCCCTGAGCAAGATGGCGAAGGGGGTTCAGTATCCACACAAACACGGGGCGCTTTCCCTGAGCAAGATGGCGGAGGGGGTTCAGTGTCCACACAAACACACGGGGCGCCTTCCCTGAGCAAGATGGCGGAGGGGGTTCAGTGTCCACACAAACACGGGGCGCCTTCCCTGAGCAAGATGGCGGAGGGGGTTCAGTGTCCACACAAACACACGGGGCGCCTTCCCTGAGCAAGATGGCGAAGGGGGTTCAGTGTCCACAAAAACACACGGGGCGCCTTCCCTGAGCAAGATGGCGAAGGGGGTTCAGTATCCACACAAACACGGGCGCCTTCCCTGAGCAAGATGGCGGAGGGGGTTCAGTGTCCACACAAACACACGGGGCGCCTTCCCTGAGCAAGATGGCGAAGGGGGTTCAGTATCCACACAAACACGGGGCGCCTTCCCTGAGCAAGATGGCGGAGGGGGTTCAGTGTCCACACAAACACACGGGGCGCCTTCCCTGAGCAAGATGGCGGAGGGGGTTCAGTATCCACACAAACACGGGGCGCCTTCCCTGAGCAAGATGGCGGTGGGGGGGTTCAGTATCCACACAAACACGGGGCGCTTTCCCTGAGCAAGATGGCGAAGGGGGTTCAGTATCCACACAAACACGGGGCGCCTTCCCTGAGCAAGATGGCGAAGGGGGTTCAGTGTCCACACAAACACGGGGCGCTTTCCCTGAGCAAGATGGCGGCGCGGCACCTCCACGAGAAACGGCGCCTTCGTCTTGCCCCTCTGTGGTGGTCACCGCCTGCCCGCCCGCCACGCACGTGGAGTGCGGCGCGAGAACTACGCGATGAGTGCCAAGCGGCCGGCGGACGGCGACTTACGAGAACCAGAGGCGACCACCACCACCACCACCCCCGCCGCGAACAACAACAATGACAACAACAACAACGACAACAACAACAACGCCAAGAGGAGGAGGGAGGAGGAGGAGGCGGGAGACGATGGGAGGGAGGAGGCGAGAAGCGAGTTGGCCTCGCTGAGCGAGAGGATTCTGAGCTCGGCGGTGCGGAGCCGGGTGAGCGCGGCGTGGAGAGATGGGGCCCCTCTTGTTGAAGGTGAGTGACAGAGAGAGGAGCTCGGGGTGTCCTCACACTCCCCCCATCTGGTGGGGTGTCACGATCCACAGGGCAATCTGGACGTGGTTATTCTCCCCACCATCTCCCCCCCTGCACCACCACCACCACCCCAATAACACATCCCTGAGGGTGGCCTGTGGTGAAGAAGGCATTTTGGTTTCATGAGTACCGTAGTTTAAAGACGTCCAGTGCATTCCGAGTTATAAAGAGTTGCCCAGGTGGAGGATTGAGGACGCTGGGGGGGGACCTCGTTCAGCACGAGAGAAGTTGCCGGCTCAAGGGGAACCTGCACTGGAGGAATCCGATGAGCTATAAAGCGTTTTTTTGGGTTTTACAGATGTCCAGTACCAAGCCGAATAAGTTTTAACATAAATACAGAAGATAGCAGGGTTGAATGTTCTTGTCGCCCACAATTATGGTGTTGATTGAGCTTGAGACTACTGTTTTGTTATCTGACAATTATCTAAGCCGGTCCTGGGCCTCCCCTAGGTCGACTCAGGCCTGAAATGAGTACCTGGTGCGGTGTGTAAACATCGCCACTGGGGAGACAAAGGCGGCCGGGCGTGGTGCTGGCCACCCACAGCCCTCGTGTTGCCGTGCCGGCCTTCATAGGTGCTCTCTCACAGCACTTGTCCCTACAGTCTCTTAAGGCTATACGGGGGATCTTTGTCTTTGTGGCGTTGCGGGGAGCGGTGGGGCAGCGGTTAGCTCGCTGTGCGAACAAAACCGGTGGCCCACCACCGTTCGATTTCCACTCATGATGGCAAATGTGTGAACTTGTCTTGGGTCTCCCCTAGGTCGACTCGGCCTCAAACGAGTACCTGGTGCCGTGTGTACTCAGCGTTGATGATGTGTAAACATCGCCACGAGGGAGACAAAGGCGACCCCAGGCCGGCCTTCATTAGATGCTGCTCGCGAACACATTCCTGTCAACCCCTTATTAGTGCCTACCTTATTTCAGACCAATTCCGACCTTATTGGTCACCCCGTGCCCTTATAAATACCAACGTTCATCCAGCAAAGTCCCATCACGAGGGATCAACACAAACAAATAGATAAACAAAAATTGTGTTTATGCCCGTACTGAAACGGCAGTACGCCGAATGTACAAGAATACGGGTAAACCGTATGGGTTGACACGGTATGCGAACATACGGGGATCTTTGTGTGTGTGTGTTTGTTACTCTAGACACGGGGCTGGCGGTGTGCCCCGGCCCGTTCCCGCACACCGTGATCCCCAACTTCTTGCAAGACGAGGACGGCTTCCTGGGGCGACTCCAGAGAGAACTTCTCGCCCTCGACTTCCACCACAAGTCCAACGACCTTTACAAGTTCCAGCAGGTGGTCCTCACTCACCGCAATGTTGTCGGCTCAAGGGATTTGGCCACTGAAACTTCGTTCCGTGCCCCGATAACACATCCCTCGCTTGAAATCCCCTCCATCCTGTCCAATCTTGGAGCTTACTTCTTAGTATCTGTGTGCCATGCCCGCTTCCTTCAAGTCATACAGCAGCATATTTATCTGCCGCTTGGCCTCTTTCCTTCCAGAACTTCATCAGACTATTACCTACTCTCTGGGTCTTTCGGTAAAGTTACCGAAAGAACAAGAGAGTATGGATTCCTGCAGTCACGAAAGCTTCAAATCAAGATCAGACTACTACTTTTGACAATGTGCCCAATACACATCGTTTGTCTTTTCTGGATTGTTCAAATGTCTCTTCTCTCCTTCTGAAGCTGCTCCCGAACTTCCACATTTTGCTTTCTCTCCATCTAATATTTTCCAATCGATGTGATTACTCACATCTGAAGACTTTTAAATATTTATATATATAAAAAACATCCGCACGCAACATTACAGTTTTTTGTAGGTTCTTCACGAGTTTCTTCGTAAACTCTCTGCCCATTCGTCTTGTCTGCTGCATTCTTCTCTTGCTGAACGCTGCATTTCCCTCGGCAAACTCGCTACCCTCTTGAACATCTATACATATTCGTAAAAGGCGAGCAAAAAAAGTTAAAGATGTGACGGTATGGGGAGCCCTTCATCCAGCAGCTAATTGATCATAGCTGATAATTAATCTTTATATCTCTAGCATTGATGATGATGACCTTGCTGTGTGTTTCTTTCACACAGTCGGATGACTTGAAGGAGAGGCAAGAGTCATGCATCTCTGCACTAAGGTTTGTGTCTGTGCATTACTCATTCAGGGGAATAGTGTTGGATTCATAATTAACAGCTAAGCAAATCACGGCAATCCCTTAAATATATGCACACCTCAAATTATACACTTCGAGCAGTAATACATTCCTTTGTCAAACAGTCATCACCAGTTATCATTTATTCTGTGCCTCGCATGCAGTAGATCTTGAAGCACCAATCAACTGCTGGATGAAGGTGTTCCCATGCTACGTGGGTCATCGGGTTATTAGATCATCCTTTAAGCTAGTCAGTGCGGGTGGGTGAAGGCGGGTAGCATAGAAGTACACGTGCACTGCCCTCTGCTACCGACAATGTAGCCCCTATGAGTTTAAGCATTTAAAATGCCAGCGGACGACAAAATAACTGCGCAGTTACCATTCTCGCTCAGCGATTAAATACCTCGGGAAACTTTTTAGTGGCAACACGGCGATCAGCTGATTGACCGGGTGTTTTGGGTTTGTAACGCTGCTCTGGCCGGTGGTGCGGCCACCCCAGGACGGTGCTCTACCAGGATTTCCGCGCATGGCTGTCGGAAGTTCTCGCTGTGGAGCTCGAGGACACTGTGGACATGTTTTGTGCCAAGTACGACTACACAGGTGAGCGGCGAGACAGTGTGTGTTGAACTTCTTTTGCACGTACGTAGCCAACAGTACTAGTTGGAGGTGCGGGGGAAGGACAACAAGAGACAGAGACAGAGCGCAGAAGAACACAGTCTTTCTAGATATCGCACACTTGTGCTTCGCATCAAGAAGTGTCTGGGTTCGATTCCTGACTCGGATGCCTTTCTGTGTGGAGATCTCCACCTGTTCTGGATGGGTTTCTTCTAACTTCTCCGGTTTCCTGTCGTCAATAAAAAATCATAAAACGTAACTAGTAATGGCCAAACATCGCAATGAAAACATGTATTCCTGGAAATTACATCATTAGGATTCCACATAGGAACATAGTCCCCCACCTGGCTAGGCTGCAGCAGTGAAGCTGAATTGTTGAAATGAGATGTGATGTAAGGTGCTTTGAGTTGCTGTGGCATTTAAGCACCCCATCCATACAAATCATTAAATCCTGATGGTATAAAGTCTTTGTGGGAAGTGCACGCTCTTCTGGCACGTTGTGACGTCCGCGACCGCCGCGTGGCCGCGTTCCGTAGACGTGCTGCTGTGTCACGACGACGAGCTGGAGGGCCGACGCGTCGCCTACATCCTCTACCTGGTGCCGGACTGGAGCGAGGGGGACGGTGGTGCCCTGCAGCTCTTCAGTGTGGATGGTGAGGCCCGTCCCAAGTGCCCCTGCCACATGGCTCATAGGGGCCCCTGCCAAAAAAATATTTTCAGTAAATGTAATGAATGCTTCACAAACTCTCAGTGATGGCTGATGTAAAATTGTATTAACCTGTATAAGATGTCGCAAAGATTTTTGAGGGAAACTATTAATTTTTCTAACACAATAGTAATACCATTATATACCCAGGAAAGTGTCACGACTTTTTTCAGGGGAATCCTGTGTTGGGATGTTGGTAAATTCCACTGAAGAGTGCTTTGCTTTGTGTGGGATGAAACTGGAGAGCAATGTCGGTGCCTGACGTAATGTGATTTTGAGAAGTGTTTGTGGTTCGGGTGCAAAAGCTACTGCAATCAGGCAGTTTAAAGTGGCAGCAAAGACCAGTGGTGTGTGGGACGGTTAAGCTGTGCAATGGAGTGGGAGTGGAAGTAAATAGCCAGGTGGCTCAGAGGTCTGAACATTGAGCTCACACCTCAGATCCTGGGTTTGAATCTAGGCAGCCGCGTACGATCCAACCGGGTCCTCAGTTGTCGTCAGATGATGGTCTCAGTCCAGTCAGCCCTCTACCATCTAACCTATAAAAGGCATTTTTTGTCTGTCTGTCTGTCCGTCTGTGCACACGCGCTTACGAGGATTTGGCTATGTGTGTCAGTCGTTGTGTGTACGCCAATGTGTGTATGTGTGTGAGAGTCCATGTGTGTGTGTGCGTCGATATGTGTGTGTAAGTTCATATGTCTGTATGTGTGAGTCTATGTGTGTCTGTAGGTCGATATGTGTGCGTGGGTCCATGTGTGTGTAAGTCCCTGTGTGTGTCTCTTAGTCGATATGTCTGTCTTTGTAAGTCCATATGTGTGTGTGTAGGGCAATGTGTATGTGAGTCGTATGTATGTGTGTGAGTCCATATGTGTGTGTAAGTCTATGTGTGTCTATATATGTGTGTGCGAGTCTATATGTGTGTGCGTGCGTGTAAGTCGATGTGTTTCTATGTGTGTGGGTCGATGTCTGTGTGTAAGTCGATTTGTGTGTCTGTCTTTTTTGCCCGGGCGACGCCGGGTACTTACCGCTAGTGCATTATAAAACCGGTTACATTTTATTTGGTTGGGCACCTAATGTGAATAATTTTGAGCAGTGATTTTACATGTTGGGTTTGACTGTGCAAGCAACTGCTCTCGGTGACTGTGGGTGTTTGGGAAGATGCTGCCCCCTACTGTGTGGATCAAGTATCGTCTGATGATAAATTATAAGAAAATCAATTAGTGGCTGTAAATCTGAAACTGATGAACCTGTGACTGTGCTGGGGGACATACCGGGTCCTGGACCCTTCCTAAATGGTAAACCAAGCAACTGGTACTCGGACATCATGACGGAGTGGTGCTCTCTTGACTGTCTTGTGCGACAGAAAACATGAATCCGCTCGGTGTGGTCAAGTCACTGGTACCTGCTTGGAACACGCTGGTTTTCTTTGAAGTGTCGCCCATGTCCTACCACCAGGTGAGGTTGGGATGGCGGGCCTTTGCAACCATAACCACAAACACTCCCACTCGTACCCAGTGGTGCTGAACAGCTAATTAGTTTGACAATTCAGTTGAGCTTTTTTAGGAACTGCATTGCTACGTAAGTCTTAATACGATAAAGGCATGTTTTTTGTATTGGCAAAAGATTGTTGTTGACTAAATATAACTAATTTCGTTCAAAATAAAGACTGATCTGAAATTGTATACACATGTGAACCGCTTGTACGCGAACATGTACAGCCACATTTGTCAATCCGCTGCAGGATGAGAATCTGCCCACACCATGCGGATCGTGGGTGGAGGGGTGCTGTCTGACCGTACTCGACATGCCAGCCTGTGTTACCCACTGCGCCCACCGCCACTCTCCCTTTTCCCTCGCCGCCGCTGCCTGCAGGTGTCCGAGGTGCTCTCACAGAGTAAGCGCCGTCTGTCAGTGGGCGGCTGGTTCCACGGCCCGAGCTTGCCTCGCCTCAAGCGCTCGCTGCACATTCCGCTCGCTCTCACGCCGCACCTCCCTCGCGACGTAAGGGCGGCTTGCCGCTGCACATGACGGCGGCGGTGGAATAATGATTTTGTGTTAGAAACAAGTTTTGCTGGCTGGCTTTCACGGCCAGAGGGAGGGACAGACGGATGTGTGGGTTGCTCGTTAATAAAGTAAGCAAAGTTATTATATTAATCAACTTCAACGTGTTTAAGAAAATACCCTGATGTTTAAATAAATACATTTCATACATTTGGTATTTGCGGCATTTTTGCAATGTTATAGCGCAAACAACTGTCACGCGTGGGTGCTATTTTTCACAGATGGGTATAGTCTGCCAGGAGAAGGGGGCATTGCAGTAATATGGGTTTTGCCCAATAAAATTTATTGGAGGAAATTTTCAAATTTGGACCGTGACACTCATACATGGCCTTCTCTTTTTCGAATGACATAACAGGATCTTAAGTTTCACTGTGCAAAAGACGGCAGGTATTTTATGGTCAATACACCCGTAGTAATAATCATGGCGGTACTGGTCTCTGAACAACATTTCGATGGAGCGTTGAGCTGAGGTCATGTGCAAGAATGTTTTGGGGGCATTTCAGGACCATGAGGGACAGAAATGAAATGGTCAGGCCTGTTGTCCTGCCCTCATCCTGGTGATCATCGGTCGCTCGAGTGTGTACTCCCCCTGCTATGTACGGCAATTAAAGATGCGGTCGCATTTAAACTTTTTATTTACCACATTTTATTGTTGCTGATGGATCACTGAAGGTGGATATGTGCTGACGGCCAGTGCTTTGGTGGTGGGCCGGTGCTTGTTACAGGAGCAGGTGCTGCTGGAGTGGCTGAACCCGCTGTACCTAGACATGGAGACGCAGGCCTCCATCCAGGACCAGTTCCAGCGCGAGTCCGAGATACAGCTCAAGGGCTTCCTGCGGGTAACCGCCCCGGAGTCGGTTCACGGCGCGTCCACGCACAGCAGCTCGAGGGGTCAAACGCGCCGACTCCCCAAGTGCTGAGTGATGCAAACTGGTGTGCTTAGATGACAGTCGGGGGTTCGGAGCCAGTTGAGCTCGTTTTAACAGTCAAACACGATTCATTACGCCTAAACGTTCCTTACTGTTAAAGTAAAATTGAAGGATACGTTGAAGGGGATAACGTGGCGGCGCAGTGATGAGTGATGTTATGTCGAATAATAGCCATTCTTCTGGTTCACAATGCATACATTGCATCGCTTGAGTCGGAGTTCATGTCCGTGTTCTTATATAAAACGTATTGATGTGAGTGCTCCGACCACCAGAGACTGCTGCGTTCATCTCCATGCGAAACTAAATATTATCAATCAAATGTCGACACGGAATAGCAAGACAATACATTAAGTCTTGAAGCGAGTGAACAGTTGCACCTCTCATGCGTACAGGAAGGATTTCCAAACATTTTAGAATTCTGACCTGTGGCTTTACAACGCTCTCCTGAAAAACAATTCATGATCATTTGCAAGGCTCTAGTTGTGTAATTGCAAGACAGTGTGTGAAAATCGTATTAGCGTTAACAGCAAAATATGTGTTCGGGCGGACAGCGACGGGGTTAAAAGTTCTTGGTGTTTCCGTGTTGCTTAGGAAGAGAAGTTCAAGGCTCTGTGTGATGCGGTGAGAGAGTCTACGATCGAGTGGGAGAGGCGAGGGCCACCGCACTACAGGTCCGCGCAGTCCGCACGCCCAACGCTCTACAAGCCAGTGGGGCCATTTCATAAAACCACCAAAGTGAACTTATTCCCTTCACCGCTATCGCAACCAAATTAAGTTCGGGGGATATTTTGAACGACCGCCCTCAAGCCCAGGGAGTTCCGACTCGTTTGTTATTCGTTTGCGGGGGCTCTGTGATGCAGGAGCTACGACGCTGCGGCTGAGCGCTTGCTGCCGGCGCCGGTGTGCGAGTGTCTGGAGCTGCTTCGCTCCGAGGCGCTCTTCCTGCTGCTCGCAAACTTCACGGGGCTTAAACTGCACTTCCTGGCGTCGGGGGACTCTGGCTCCGAGAGCGATGACTTGGAGTCCCAGGAGGATGGCGAGTCGGGGGGAGAAGGTGATATGAAGGATGATGAGGCGTGGTGTGGCCTCGGGGGGAGATGGAGACTGAGGGACGGGAGGGTTGAAACGCAGGGTGGTGTCATAGTGTCGTCACTGCATTGTATTTGAATTATCCAATTCCCATGAACGACAGAACTTGATAATGTACTCGAGTTGCCCTCCCCCTCACCACCCCCCTAGAATTCAGGCCAAGCGGAACAATTCTAGGAATGAACTGTGATACCTCAAGTGATTCCGAAAAACATGGAAACGCCTTATCAATTCAAGTGGTCTATCAAGTTTCTTTGCCATGTTACAGTGCATCCAGGGTATGGTCGTACAACTTTACGTACTCTCTCGCTGAAATTCCTCTCTTAATGCCCTTGCCTGCAGTCATCATCGCGCCTGTGTCCCTCGCCAGGCAACGGTGAGCACCAAAACAGGCAAAGAGAGGAGGGGGGCTCTCAGAGGGTGAAGAAGAGCTCCGCCAAGGGAGACGGCGAAGAGAGCGAGGGAGGGAGCGAAGACGAGCTCGGTGCCGCTGGAGATGACGGTGATGATGCAGAGAGGACGACGGGCGGGTCCCCGGCCCCCGGTGGAGCAACGGCGTCACGGGAGGGAGGTGCCGGGGTGGAGCCCTCGGCAGGGCCTTCGGCGGGGCCCTTGGGGCCTTCGTTGGGGCCCTCTGTGAGGCCCTCGTCGTGTTCAGCGGACAAAGGTGAAGAGGCATCGCGAGCATCTCGCTGGCACAACTGCGGTTGCCATGCACTTTTGGTTTACGTTGGAATCCAAATTGTGTTGTTTGATAGGGTAGAACCCCTCTTAACGACCACCACAGTTAAGGACGAATCGCTTAGCGACGGGCCTCCATAGATGCCAATGTGTTTGCTTACTTACCATTTCCCTGTTAAAAACGGGCTGTTGTATGTACAGTAAATATTCATTAATGCATTCATTAACCATGTTTCTTTTAATATTGTGTTTATAATGTTGTTGGTATCATTATGTATTCATATCTATTTAAATATTATAAAGTACCTTTTTTGGTGAAAAACGGTAACTTTCGATGCTATCGGAACGAATTAATCCTTTAACATGTATTTCCTATACTCGCTTAACGACCGGTTTCATGGAACCAATTACTGTCATTTAAGAGGGGTTCTACTGTACAAGTTGAATTGCTGTTGCTTAAGGTTTTTTTTTGCGGTCGCTCTGTATCGCTCTAACAGATCTGTTTTCATGTCTGCCGTGTTTTGTTCGACACGATTTCCGGATCATAAACAAACTCCCAGAATGTGGGGGTGAAATGTCAGACATCAAACATCGCAGAGCGTGGTACAAGTCGAAAACGCATCAAAGAGACCCGTTGAATCGCCTAGAATTTTGCAAAATGTCGTTGTTTCTCTTTGACAGCCACACAAAACTGGCATCGTCTTCTCTCGGTTCTTCATGCATTTATTTGACAAAATATGGCGGACATAAGCTATGTTTATCGATCAGGCGATTTTTACAATGACATTAAATTTTTTTTAATAAACAGTACTTGCTTGAACATAAAGTTGAACTCATAACCTGGCAAACTTAAGTCGCTCAAACCTGGTTCTGTGAATGTCTTTATAAAGAGTCGGATATTTTGGCCATTCCACCACGATAAAATGTGTTGCACGCAATTTGGCCCTCCCCTTAGAGAATCTCTTGCATTCCATTTGGCTAACTCCTGGTCATCGGTGGAGGAATTTGTTAAATGTATACAATGTTCTGTCAGGTGGTGGATTGCCTATATACAAAATCTTACCTACTCTGTCGTCTAGATAGCTTCCTTGTCGGGTAGATGTTATCATCACAGGTCGATGTAGTTACAAGTGTGTGAACTCTCCTACCCCCATGCCATTTCTTACAGGCTGTGCATGTCGCCGTATTTGGATGTAGTGATTGAATTTAATAACAATAATATGTATTCTTTCAGAAAAGCATCTAAGTCCACATATGGGAATAAACGGGGAGAAACTGGGAGTACCTGGAGAAAACTCGCACATCCAGTAAATCCTTAAAAGTCGCGGGTTTTATAATCGTGCCTTCAAAACACTGGATCGCAGAGGCTTAGGCGCGGTGCAGTTACCCTTCTCCTTCTGCTCCGCAGGGGGCAATAGCGCAGTGCCCCGGTGCTACGGGGAGCTGAGACGCTGGCGCCACGGCTCCTACACTCTCATCCACGACCGCGACGCTCGGCACGCTCGCTACGCCCTTGACCTGCTGCTCTACTGCGGCTGCAGCGGTACGACGCTTGACCCACGACGCTGAACGTGGCTAATCGCCAGTGTGTTGCCGCGACATCACGACGCTGCGTTGCGGCACATCGTACATTGTGTCAGGGTCCATGGGGACGCTGCCGTGGTGTGATGGTTATCACGCTGGACTTGCCATCCAGAGGGTCGCGGCTTCGTGGCACTTTAAACAATGGGCGAGTTCCTGAAATCCCCCTGCTGCAGCCTCTGTCCAACCATGTGGAGTGAACTGCAGTGAAGTGCATTCGAGAACAACTGTCAAGTGAGCTTGAAAAACAATGAAATACAATTGTGAAGTAGAGCTGTGAAAATCGACTACTCTACAGGTCGTACGCCTCAGTCGCCTGTGCTTTACCGTGTTGGTTTTTTGTAGGCGCGCGCGTGTGCACGTTTCTTTGCTTGTTGAGTGGTGACTGTAAAAACAACGTGTTGCTGTGTTCACAGACTGGGATTCGGACTGGGGAGGTTTCACGTCGTACGTAGCGAAAGACGAGGACGAGGAAGTGAGTTGCACGCGGAATGTTTTGGTGTCAGAACTAATGCAGGTTACTCGGGCTTCATGAAAACCTCGCCAGTGAAGTAATGTTCACTGCTTTGGCTGCTTATTTCCCAACACTGCCTTCAGGCGTGATACTAAGTGACACATATAGAATGTGAATACAAAAATACATGAGCACAATGTACAGAGCAATGCACGTGAACATAAATGGAAAAGCTAACGTTAAAATTAATTCAGCAGAAAAAATATAAAATAACAAAATTGTCCGCACTCCACAGGTATGAAGAATCAGTGTTTCCTTTGTGTGCGTGTTGGGTTAGTGTGTGTTACTGGGAGCACGTGTGCGTTGGTGAAGAGTGTGTGTTGGCTACTTTGTGTTACTGTGAGCGTATATGTGTGTTGGGCGAGTGTTATTGTAAGTACGTGTTTGTTGGGGTAGTGCATGTTGGGATAATGTGTGTTGGGGTACTCTGTTACTTGGGTTGTGTGTGTCCTGGGATATCGTGTGGTATTGTGTATATGCATGTTGGGGTGGTGTGCGTTTGTTAGTGTGTGTCACTGAGCGTGCGTGTCTTAGGATAGAGTGTGTTATTGTTAGTGTGTGTGTTAGGATAGTGCGTGCTTAGTGTGGGTAGCGTGTGTGTGTGTGTGTGCTGGGGTACAGTGTTACCGTACGAGTGTTGGCGTGGCGTGTGCTCACAGCGCGTGCGTGTCTTAGGGTTCAGTGTGTTACCGTACGAGTGTTGGCGTGGTGTGTGCTCACAGCGCGTGCGTGTCTTAGGGTTCAGTGTGTTACCGTACGAGTGTTGGCGTGGCGTGTGTTCACAGCGCGTGCGTGTCTTAGGGTAGAGTGTGTTACCGTACGAGTGTTTTCGTGGTGTGTGCTCACCGTGCGTGCGTGTCTGAGGGTAGAGTGTGTTACCGTACGAGTGTTGGCGTGGCGTGTGCTCACCGCGCGTGCGTGTGTCTTGTGTGAGCAGCTCCTGGCCGTGTTCCCGGAGAACAACTGCCTGGCGCTGGTGTACCGGGACCGTGACACCCTCAAGTTCGTGAAGCACGTCAACCACCGTAGCGTGGGCAGCAGCGCTGTGGCCAACGGCGGTGGCGACGATGACGACACCGCCTTCTATGACTTCTCCTTCGTCTACCATGAGAAATAAAAGCAGCAGCTGCCCCGGTGTTCTCTGTTTTTACTGTTAGTGGTGAAAATTTTACTTTTAACAGGTATTAAACGTCAATCAATTTGAATGTTTACATTGTGTTTTTTTATTTTTTATGGGAACATAAAATTGTTGATGTAGATGAACATGTAATACCCCAGGGGTATGCCAGTACAATGTAAACTGCATGTTTAAACGTAAAACTGGATCTGGTGAGGGGAGGGCTTAATTTCTCACTGAATATTTTACAGTTCTCTGGCAAGACTGGAGAAGGCCTAAGGGGTTGGACTAGGCCTAAATTAGGTGGAAATACTTTTTTTCGGGTTAACCTGGCTAGACCCGGCTGGAATTAAGCCATGGGTGTGGGTTGTTGCCTGCACGCACGGCTGAGGTGAAGCTAATGGGAGACCCACACCAACTATGAGTCAAGGTGTTGAGGTGAATAGGAGGGAGTGCGCTTGGATGTAATGGAGATAGATCCGTGGACCTGCCCTTGGCAGAGAATTAAAAAAAGAAACGACATTTTTACCCAAGGTTTAGCTTTGCACTTGATCTGCAAAGTTGTCTAAAGTGGGATTCATGGCATTCCCTGATCCATAGCAAAACGATATGTTACATGAGTATAGTGAGTATTGGCAAGTCGTGCATCGAGGTTTCGGGTAAAACTTTACATTTGAGAAGATGCTTCTGATCTATATCGCCTTCCGTGCCTTGCAATCCATCCACACTTCACGATGTTTAAATTCCATCTTACAGGTATAGGCCTGAGATGATGGAATGCCTGGTTTTTATACATTTCTGTGTTTATTTTCATTTGAACAAGAATGTTATGAGTCGTTGCTGTGAGATGCCATGGAGTAGAATGTGTGTGAGTGCAGCCTGGAAGCTTTCCAGGACAGAAAGGACAGGTAAAAAAATACATTTCGATTATTAAACAAATCATACCCACGAGAGGATAATTTTTAAGTCTCTTATTGTGGGTTAATCATTAACGGATAAGATATATCCACTGTTGGATGGGCCTTCCAATGTCAATGCCGTAGTTCGTGCTCTTGTGATGAGATGAGCCGTTTAGTTCATCCTTCCCCACTCCAGTTAGCACGGTTGGCTATGTACGGTGTGAAAGAATTTCAACAAATGAGCGGATCTCATTGCTCCGTCTCCACAGTGGTCACCCTATCGGGAATGTCTCCATCGCCTACCACTGTCAGTCTCAAGCACCGGCTGTCATCTCTTACAGCAATGTGTCTCAGCAATGCGTGTCTTGTCCAAGAACCTTGTTACCAACAGAGAACACGATGTGTCTGTCTTTGAACTGAGTGTGCTTCATTCTGTCTCGAGTTAATTCCCAACATGCACGTTTTTCCTTGTTCCCCCATATGTGGGTGACATGGTGGTACAGTGCTAACACGTGTGCCTCGAAAAGAAGCTCGTGGGTTACATTCCCAACTCGGACGCCTTTCTGTGTAGAGTTGTGTGGTCTCCCCTTGTTCTGTCTGTGTGGAGTTATGTGTTCTCTTGCTCTCTCTGTGTGGAGTTGTATGTTCTCGTGTTCTGTCTGTGTGGAGTTGTGTTCTCCCCTTGTTATGCATGGAGGGCTTCCGGATTTTTTTAGTTTCCTTCCAGAGCTAAAAAAAACAATGCAACTGGCATTGGCCAAAACATCCCAATGCCGAATTATTATCTGAAAAGTACTGCATTGAGGTGACACAATGCAAGTACTTGGCAAGACCCTCGTGAAAATAGCCTTGAAACTCAGGCTTTCCTGGGTAAACGAGCGTAACAATAACTTGCCAGAGCCCATGTTTATGATCCAAACGTCATTGCTTGCGCCGATTGAAATCTTTCCTCTGTAGGCACAGGTATGTTTCTTTCCGTGATCAAAATCCAATTTTGAGAATGCACTCCGACCTATTCTCTCTCGCCTCTCATCACGTTGACCCTGCCCCTCCTTTAAGTCAATATGGTGTTTAAATTCCATCCTTAAAAAATAGAGGTCTGTCAATGGACCAAATCGGTCATTAATCAGGACAGTCAATGTCGGCTTCGCCGACTGGGCAACGTAATTCCAAGCATACGTCTCTCCATGCGGCTGCATTTTTTTAGCTCGTATTTTCATTTTCTTAGTGTCTTGTATATGATCCGTATGTCATTGCAGTGATTAAAAAGCTTTCTCAACATGACAAATAATGTACAGTACAGAACTGTCAAACTGGATAAAATAATTGACAAAATCCATCGGAGAACAGCACAATTTTTGTTAAACATTTGTTGATGTTGCGTTGGCAGTGGTGCACAACCACAAAAAACCCAACCGCGTTCGAGGAAAATAAATATGTAATTGATGTTTCGGGCAATGGTCCTTCATGGAACATGTCAGATAGTGGCTACTAAGAGCTGGGGACTACACTTTACACCGCCGAGTCAGATGATAAATGTTTTCTGATGAGTTGTTTTTAACAGTTGGCATATGTATCGTTACCTGGCAGTCGCTTTGGACAATCCACTTCAACAATCCAACAAAAAATCATAGGCGATTTCATAACAAGCAATGGGGTCCATGGAAACGGCAGAACGGAAGTCGATGAACGAATCACAAATGAGCCCTAAGTAAGATGGATCCACTGTACTTGATAGGGGCAGAATGGCGAAACTCGTGGAGGAATTCTATGCAGACCTCACTCAAACAAAACGTAATAATCGGAAACTCATAAACCCGAGAAAATGTTTCTTTAAGCGGTGTTAATCAGTCTCAATACATTTCCCGTCTTCCCTGGGTGAGAAGCTGTCAGCCTCCGAGTCTCCAATTGCCAGAGGCACGTATTGGCAGATGGCTCAATCACCACCGGCCCTTGGCAGCAGGATCGATAGAGACATTCGACCCTCTGATTATGCATCCAGTTTTTGTGTGTTTAGGTTCCGTTGTGTTTCATATTGTCCATTGTGTATGATGGCATCAGTATGTTCAGGAGCTGCATTGCCCCCAATGTCGTGGTCTACCAGCCACGACGAGAGGGCTTTCAGGAGAGAGTTTGTGTCGTTTCGCTGCGTCTACGTTGAAGAACTGCAGACCACGGTCCATGTGTTTCAATCTTTACTTTTTCCACCTTTCTCAGTTTTATCTGTGTGCTTTATTACAACACCTTTAAATATAAAAAAAACTAATTGTTTACTTCTTGTCCTTTCAAATAACTTTGGTTATTCAACACATTTCCACCGCTGCCTTTTACATTTTAGTGCCGTCTGCACAGAATTAGGTTGAATTTATTTTCTTTGTTATATTTTTCGCTGATAGACAGTTTAATAGCAGCAGGGATCTTTTTGCCCAAGCCTGCCATTTGCTGTGGCGATGTGATTTTTTTGTGTGGGTTTAACAGCTTTGGGATGGAGCGGTGGCACAGTGGTTAGCGCGTTGCACTCTGAACCATTGCCACCCGATTTAGATTCGAGGTCACAGCTGACATCAGTGGCAAGTGATATCCGAACCGCTCTCGTGCCCTCCCTTCAACGACCCGAACTGACCAGTGCGATGAAGTGTGATGAAACAGCCCCACTGTGACTGGCTCGGCATGGGGAGACCCCTCATCCAGCAGTGGATTGACTAACACCACAGCTGTAGCGAGTCTCGGTGAGAGAAGAGAAGAGGGGAAAATGGAACGGGGAACCGCTCGCCTCATTTATCCATTCATTTTCACGCAGACTTGAGCGTGGCCGAAATCCGTGGGTGATGTCAAGGAATAAATACGCTATGGAGGAATGAATGATTCCTAACAAGGCTTGGCAACATTTATTGGCATGTCGCGTTGCTCTGTGCACAACAATATATTGCGTTTTCCATACGCATACCACAGTATCTTCGGTTGTCATGACGTTTAAAGACCGGGGTTTAGGCAACATCCTCCACTTTCAACACCAGGGTGACTCGAGACGTCAGCTCTTCAACCACCAAGAGTCAACCACGAACCTCCAGATAATGATCGCAAATGCCAATGTGTTTATATCTGCATTGTCATGGGTTTTCTCCAAACGTATTCAACTAACTAAAAAAACGCACTGTGACTTCTTATAGAAATCACATTTACTTGGGAAGGCTTCGCCAAGTCTCATGACTATTTCGTTCAGGAATGTCCTGGCCAGTTCCATGATGTGTGGCTTCACGTGGGCCTTCACGGGTGCTCGCTAACAGCACTTGAACACAATCCACCACAGACACGGTGGGGTGAGGGATACTTGTGGCTACCTCGCAGCCGCATGCCTCCAACACCTGTCAAGCCCTGGCGGTGTCACAAGGTACTAACTGAACTGGCTGGGACCTGCTTCGCTTCCGAGATCCGACGAGATCGCGAGACATTTCGGGTGCTTTGACAGCGTCATCTTCCATCTCGGCGCGCTCTCGCCCGACTGAAGCTTCGATATCTTGGAATTAAAACGAAACATTTGTTTTTATTTCACCAGCTAAGACCCACTGAGAAAGCCAAAGATTGCAAAAGTAGCACCTTCCCGAAAGCCATGGGGGGGGGGGGGGGGGGGTGACGCAGACTTTCCTTGTCGCACCGAACACTGCCATCACTTGCACAGGCGGCGCGATTAATTTCGCAGACGCCGTAGCTCGGCGGACGAAGCCCCACGCGTGGCCCGCGCATTCCCCCATCGCTCTCCGGCGCGTCTCTCTCGCGATCCGCGTCTCTCTCGCGATCCGCGTCCGCACGCCGCTGCTGCCGCTGCCCGCGACGTCCGCTTTGCTTGTGGCCGTCGCTCGGTCCGTGTCGGGCGTGACGACACCTGCCCTGGAATGTGCCGCACGTGTGGTGGGGGCTTGGAGTCGGCGATGCGGAAAGACCGCTTCATGTATCGCTCTCTCGCGAGCACGCACGCACACACACGCGCACCAAGCCAGCGAGTGGCAGAGCCGCGCCAAGTCCATCACGAGTCCACACGGCTCAAGTGCCAAGGCGACGGACTCACTTTGTGGGAGTCTCCGCGCAGATTGTCTTGCGTGGGCAGTCCGCGAGAGTGCGTTTGCTGCTGCTGCCGGCACCGGAGTTACCTGTTCCGCAGCTTGCCTGCTCACTTGCGCGTTGGAACAGCCACCACCCCTCTCTGCTGCGGCTCCCAGCGGAGTCCGTGTGGAGCTCGTTGTGGCTTTGCGCTGCCCCCCGTCGCGCTCGTGGTCGTTGCGATTTGGGCATCGGGAGGTGGGAAACTCCGTGAGCATCGTCTGCAGCTGCCGCGGATCAGCAAGACCCCCGCACAGAACAAGAAGCGAAGGAGCGGGCGACGAGGGTTGATCTTCGAAGCGTGATTGCGTTTGCCGCGTGCGCCTGAACTCGTCCGTGGACATTGAGAACAGGGGGGTGGGGGAGGGTGTTTATTGTAAGCAGAGGGACGTTGTCTGCCTCTTCTCGCCGAGAGCATCCAAGCAGTCGCGTTTCGGCGAGAGAAGTTCTTCTGGCTGCAGCCAGAGTGGACTTGGCTCCTGCCGGCACTCCCTCCCTCCACGCCGACATGCACGCGAGATGAAAGGTAACGACACGTGCGAGGAGTCTCACAGCCACAGCCGTCGGGAGTAGGTAGCTTCGGGGGGGGGGGGGGGGGGTCTCCCACTGAACGTTGTCGCCACGTGAAGTCCAGAGGACGCAAGGACTTCACGGAATAGCGACGGTCTGGAAGAAATCGATTTTCGTCTGCCTTCGATGTTGTGGTGGTACAGAGTAATATACTCTACCAGATATTAGTGGGATTAAGGAGTGTGGTTTATTGCAGCTGCGGCATGCAAGTCGCTGCACGTTGTGATACGTTCATAATCCCCCCCAAAATGACAATGATAATTTACTTACCCGTCGTCAATCGGCGAACCGAAGGCCCTCACGCCCTTGTTGTTAACGACACACAATGCCTTGGGGGGTTTGTTTGACCATACTTCACCAGCGCTGGTCTGTGCGAGTTTGCGAAGCCGTGGGAGCGGTGGTACAAGCAGACAGAATGAGCGTTGTGCCGTTTGCAATGCTGGCCGCTGAACACGGCGTTGAGACGACCCGTCCAGCCTGGTAGATGTAGGAGCATTCTAGATTTGAAGCTTTCGTGACTGCAAGGATTCATATTCTTAGGTTTTTTTCGGTAAAGTCACGTAGGTAAAAATTTTAAATTAATAAAAGTAAAATAAAAATAAAAATTACGACGTTTCGGAGGCAACACAAGCTTCCGTCTTCAGGTGCTGTATCACTTGTGACGGTTCCACCTGAAGACGGAAGCTTGTGTTGCCTCCGAAACGTCGTGATTTTTATTTTACTTTTATTAATTTTAATTGTATTTTTTTACCTACGTGAGTTTACCGAAAAAACCTAAGAATAAGATGTAGGAGCAGTTTAGATGTTGCTGTTGTAGTCGTCATCAATACTTTACACACACACACAGCAACACACTTGCAAAGAGCCATTGGAGAGATGCGTACTTGGAATAACACAGATAGGAAGAGGATTACGTGAATTGGAGAAGGTACATCCAGTGGGAGACATTAAATTTGGGACGCTTTAATCGCAACATTTAAAACATTCAATATCATCATATTCATTATATTAAGGGAAATCCTCAAGTGTTTTGATATCTTTAGAATTGACAACTTTCAAATAGATCGAAGCAGGTATGATAGAATAATACAAGTGGAGTAATTATATCAATATTATTTTTCATCTGTATATAGATGATTTCGCTTAGGAAACGAAAAGTTTTGAGGTGAGTAGGAGGTTCCAGATGTCACACGCAAACACCACACTGTCCAGCTACAGTGTGAAATGCGGAACGTGGCCAGAGCAGATGGAACAATCGTGGACATTATCAAAGAAGTGGGACCAGCTTGTCCAGCTGCTGGATCACAGATATACTCGACCCTATATTCTTGGTTCTTTCGGTAGTCACGTAAATATATATTTTTATAATTAAATGGAATTTACATTTTTATTGTGGGTTTTTTGCTTTTATTATTTTCAATTTATTGTATTTTTATTTTATTATTTTTCTTTAATTTCAAATTTTAGTTTTCGATTTACGTGACTTTACCGAAAGAACCAAGAAAATGAATTCCTGCAGTCACGAAAGTTTTATGTCAATATATACTCGACCCTAATTACTGTATTAAACGTTTACCCAGAAATTAAACAACCTCAATCAGAAATGTACATAGTTAAAAAATAATAATTAACAATTCCACAGCCATTTAATGCTAAATGTTTGTTCGTTTTCTCTCGCGAGGTCACATTCTCGAGTTTGCATCTCTAAGTTGTAAACATTGGCTCTGCCTGTGTAGCACTATCACAAAGCAAAGAGTTAACGTGCGCCTGGCATTTCCATGTCTGACTCAGGCATAATGGACAATTATTAACCTCTGAGCTATGTCTGGGCGCGCCCAATATCGTTGTTGGAAACTGAAATGACAAACGCAGGTAGCTGGGAGAGGTGGCAAGGGCTGGCCATGCCCACACAGTTCGAGAAAAAGAAACGCACCATTGTGGTGATGCTGTCGTCTTTGCTGCACCGCCAGCAAAAACGACGCGAACATTCAACAGATTCGTCAATAAGCACCGTGGCCTTAAAAGGATTAAAAAAAACATTGCATGCACTGTGTTGAACTTTTTTCGCACCGTACGCAGACAACCGTGCTAATCGGAGGTGCGGGGGAAGGACAACAAACTAAACGCAAAAAATCAGTTCTAAGTTAATTAGTTTTCAATCCATATTTAAAAGTGCATAGCCCCTGTGACGTCCTAATATCGGAAGGAAAGCGCGTTTACTGAATTGGTATTCCACAACAACATTCTTGGCGCGATCCTCCTAATAATAAGACCCAGTGAGGCTTTTCCCGAGTCGGCAAGTGTACTAATAATACTACAGTATTCACAATAAAGGTTTCTGGGTTAGATCGCGTAAGTGTAAATGCGTCGTAACCCTCCACCACCCGACGCAGCCAGGAAGGTTTGTCACGTGAACAACACGCCCATTAGTGACTACTGTTTCCTTTGAAGGCAGCCTTTTTTGACGAAGATGTTGAGTTTTGTTGTTGTTGTTGTTATATACACGACAGAGCAGTGTAGGATGACTGCGAGCGTGGTTCTGTAGTGGAGTGAGCAGGAGCCAGGGCATAGAGTCGCTCAATCACTTCTGCCATTCAGTAAAAGCGTTGCAGTGCACGCTAATGATGCACAGGCAGTGGCGGACTCAGCTAGTGCGGGGCCTGTAGCATCTGTTGTTATGAAGGGGCCCTAAATAAAAAAAAACACTCGTAAATATTAAAACACATTTTTAACTTGCATAGTAAAGTAATTGTATTTTTTCATTTGCTATACAGCCAGATAATACGACAAATCGCTAACCTTAAACACCCAGTCGTTCATAACAGTTGAAGGCGGTATAGTACTATAGTAATAGAGCAAGTGTAGAATCATTGAACCGGAATTGATAGCTTGAAAGCATTTAGCACGGGGCCCTTGAAAGTGCGGGGTCTGTAGCATATGTAGCTACTTTTGCTAGTAGGATCATCCGGCACTGTGTGCTCAGGTGACGGCTTGTGAGCTGCAAGATTGAGAAAGTCACAAAATCGGCCCCGTGATGCCCCCTTTGCAGGTGGATTTATCGTGTCACTGGAACGTGACGGCAGTGGCTTCTTGAGTAGAGGCCCAAAGGTGCGTAGAGACCCATGGACTCGCACCAAGACTCAAAAGACTCGCGCAGAGACCCGCAGATTTTCACAGACCCATACACACGTAGAGGTACTGCACATAGACCCACATAGGGGTACGTAGATCCACATAGATATCCATAGGCCCACATAGAGACCCACTGAGAAACTGACTTCATTATCAGTGCTTTTTCCACCGGACGAAGCAGCTCACAGCCCACACAGCTTCCCAGGCGGGAGCCCAGCACCAGTGCGGGAATATCGACATTATCCAAACGATCATTATGTTGAACGATCATCATCGACCATCACTGCAGTCGTCAAGAAACCCGCTTCCACCAGGCCTCCTCAACTTGGAGCCACAAGTCGCCGCTGCCCGCGCCTGAGTTGGCATTCGCGCCTGAGGGTCGTCCCACTTGCTGGGAAGCCATCAGCGGCCCTGTTACAGATAGACTCACTACCAGAGGCCCTGTTACAGATAGACTCACTACCAGAGGCCCTGTTACAGATAGACTCACCACCACCACCACAGGAAGGTGAAATTTCCACCGCTGACTCTGGGTAGCCAACAGAGATGCACCACCACCCCGTGCTTAATTGAGAGTGGAGACACAAACACTATTAAGTATTTACACGTAACTTGCAAGTATGTGACCTGCACAGTCAGCCCAGCAGGTTGAGCATTCCAGTTGGAGCTGGTGCTTCAGTGGGTGTATGCCTCGCAGCTGCCCGATGTGCTTGTGGGTTGTGTTGCGTGTCGTTCGGCGTGACGTCTTGACGTTTTGCTCCACCTGCTGTGAGCGTCTTCAGGAAAAATGCAGTTCCTGGAGGAAGAGACCAGTCCCTGGACAAGGTCCCAGCACGTGTAGTGAGCTGTCTGACCCCGCGCCGGGCGATGTGCAGTTCAAGCCGGACACACAGGTGTTTGCCATGCGTTGCAAGACGATAGAACGTACGGTCACGTGTGTGTATCCCCCCCCCCCTCTTCCCATATCCCACGCAGCTCGCGAGTCTCGGAGTGCCGTGCCCTGCCCCAGGGATGTCTGAAGCCACAGAAGATATCGGCACCGACGCGGTGTTGGAGGAGCAGCTGAATGGATTGTCTTTGTGTCGCGAGGTAATTGCGTGCCAACTCTCATCTTCTGCAGACCAACAGGCTCCTCGGGCAATCGCTCAAAGCAGCACGGCGGCGGTGGCTGCTGCCTCCGCAGCTGCTGCAGCTCCACATCGAGCACCCCCGCTTCGTGTTGACATTGCTCGTCTCTTGCCGCGCCCTTCTTGATATTCTCAACCAGCAGCGTGGAGGGAAGGGGGCACCGAGACCACCGTCGAGTCCGCTCAGCGGCCCCTCGTCGACAGTGTGCTGCGACCGCACGGTCTGAGCACATCCACAAAAGCGAGTGGGTTGTGGTTCACGTTGGCCCCCGGGTGCTGCACACGCACCCTGGCCGGTACAGAACCTGTTGAGCAGGGGCCCATGACCGCAGTGGCATCGTATGCGTGGCGTCATAACTAACCAAGGTCATTCCACTGCTGGATGAAGGCATCTCCATGCTATCGGCATTCCCTACAGTCAGGAAATGCAATAATCCCATCCAGCTGCTGCACGAGTTCATTTCATCACTCCATCTCTCCGGCGAACGATAACTTCGGGCGTGCTGTCTCCTTTGGCTGCCACTCCCACGTCCCGCGACGTATCCTGCCCAAGGCCAGTTCATTGTCTCGGCAGAGCAAGATGATCTATTCAAGTGGCGTCGTTTTCACGTGTTCCTATTTATGTCTCTCGGTGTAATTCCGAGCGTGCGTCTCTCCACGCTTTGCGTAGTTTCACCTCTTGTTTCACATTCTTTCAATCAACGTCCAAGATTCTGATCCGCGTTCATACGTGACAGCGGGTAACATACACGGCTTGTTGACGTGATCATTATGAACACACCGGGACCAGCGTGTCCTCGGGACAGGGCGATTGTTTTTCTCGACTACAATCGGGGAAGCTGCCGTGGTGTAATGGATAGCACGCAATTCTGAAGTCGCCGTTTGGATCTCCTGGTGCAGCAGTTGGGACAATGGGACGTGTTTATAAAATCACCGGCCCACCGTCACCCAGCAGGATAAATAGGTACAACCATAGTCGATTGGTAGGTAGGTCACGTGTGGTGGGGTAAAGTGTGGGTACACCCACCTCGTCCAAGACGTCCCGCCAGCTTGGAGGAGTAGACCTCATTCACTTTAGAAGGACTCACTCAGCCCCCCTTCCACTAGCAGTGGAACGCAGACCTGCACCTTTGCCTTCACCCTCTGAGGCAAGCATCACAATTTCCGCAGCCTGACTTCACAAAGTAAAAGTCGCGTGTAATTCATATATATGCATTACCACTTAAATTCTTTAAAAGACAGTCACACCCGCATACCAACACTCCTGTTTATATAATCTGTTTACTGCTTGAGAGCACTTGTGGTATGTAGGCAGCATTTGTTCTGGATTGACTCATTTTACTGCCAAATGTCTTGATATTGTGCACATCAAAGATAGCAGAGATTGCATAGCAGAGCGTGATGTTAGGCATGGTGGGTTTATGATCCCCTTTCCAGGCAGTGAATGTTAGTCATCCTCATCCATCATCATCTCTCCCATTGCCGCAGTGGTCCAGGGGGCGCCACTGATACCTCGGCTCTCAACTCTCTCCGCTATTTCCCACCCGCCTGCCAATGTGAATGTGCCATCACGTAGATGGAAAAGAAACATCTAAATTAAAAGCAAAAAACCCACGACGTTTCGATCTCAACACGAGCGGTCTTCTTCCTCTCCCCTCCCCTCTCTTTTCTCTCCACCTGAAGAAGACCGCTTGCGTTGCGATCGAAACGTCATGATTTTTTGCTTCTAATTTCGATTTTTCTTTTCTATCTACGTGACTTCACCGAAAGAACCAAGAATATGAATTCCTGCAGTCACGAAAGTTTTGAGTCTAAACCCCTCCTATGAGTAACGCACACGGCGATTCTCTGCGCCTACGACCATTGGGGCAATGCTCCTCTCCCGTGTACAGTCCGAAGCCAGCGGTCGAAATTCCGCATTCCTCTGGTGAGTCTAGTCAAAAGGCCACCACCGTTGAATTCCTCACAAGGGGGTATACTCATTGTACCGACCCCAGAGGAATGATGGGCTGAGTCCAACACCCAACCAGGTTTTGAACCCACAAGCCTTCCGATTGCGAGCCGCTTGCTCGACCGCCGAGCTACCTGGTCAGATAAGTGACCCCTATTACCCACATTCTTTTGTTATTGGTGGCCCATCATTGGATAATTTTGCACGATTATTCATGGTTGAGAGGAGTTGCTTCTATCTCCATTTCCTGCGACTTAGAAGTGGCTGCCCAGCGTGCAAACGTATTCCTATTATTTGCAATATTTACACGGGCAATGAGAATCACGTGGCTAATTCATATCATTTGTGTGTAGCCAAAGCCTCGGATAACATTATCAGGAACGTGTCCTAGCTGATTGGATCTCGGAAGCGAAGCAACGTGGATGCGAGCCTCGATAGTGCTTGAATGAGTGACCACCATGCATTACAGGTTGCCAGAGATGGCTGCAGGGCTATTTTGAGTGCACCAGTGGCAATGCAGCAACATCCATTGGTCGAATGTCCCTCTGTGCTCCTGGGTGCATGTTCTCCCTGCCTTCACCAACTCGCTGTGACCAGCATGGTGAAGTATGGTCGAGCACAGTAGTCCCGTGGTTAACGTTTTACATCCGTTCCACGAAAACTACTGTTAATTGAAATAACTGTAAATGGAATTCACTTATTAGTTTAAAAATAAGTAAAACATAATTGAGAGCTGTTTCCACTGCCAAAACAGAAAATGTAATGTCAACAAAGCCAGTGAGGTCTTAACGGATTGGCCAAATTAGCGCCCGCGTGCATATAATGTAAACATACCGCTAATCGAAAATTTTACGTTAGTCGAAACCATGGGGGTCCTATGGGAGGCGAAACGTTAACCGAAAAACCGTTAACCGATGTCTCAGGCGAGGCATGGGGGGGGGGGGGGGGAAGGCCTTTATCCTGCCGCGTATTGACAAATGTGCTGCACATGTAAATGTGCGTTGTTGTAAAGTCTTATCAAAACCATCTGGTTAATAATCAAAACCATACCAACGCTGAGTGACTTGGTGGGGCTTGCCCACCCTAAGCCATTCTGCACACTGTGTCGCCCCCCCCCCCCCCCCCGCGTGTGGCTTTGTGTGGTTAACTCACGCCGCTGTCCCCTGTTTGCCGGTGCAGCTTCGACAGCACGGGGAAGCCGAGGGGGCCCGGGAGGAGATGGGAGATGCAGCGGAAGAGATCTACAGCCCTGCTCCTTCTGCAGGTGAGGTCTCTCAATGGTTGCTCAAAATGGAGCGGTGTGTGGATTTTTGGCCGGCTGTGCGAGTGTGAGAAGAGGTGGAATGATGTGGTATGAGAAGATATGGAGCTGAGTTGACCTGCCAATAACTGGTACCAGCGGTGTCAAGATCGGCCTCTGTGGAGGAGGCTCGTGAAGGATGCTACTGGGCAGTTGGATGCAGACGCCCTCCAGAGGAGCGACGCTCGCAACAACGAGCGGAGCGCCGGGCGGCTAAAACACAGAAAGTTGGCACAGTAGGGGGCACAGGTGGTGCATCGGCCAGTAATCTCAGTCATCTCAGTCAGTCAACCCGTGGCACCTGGGTCTGTCTCGTAACCTCCTGCCAACGGGCGATCGACGCTTCACGTGACTTTAAAGTTCACATAGCCTGGCACAAGCGCCGTGGTGACGTCACCACCACTTAGTGTTGAATGGTGGCTGTTGTTGTTGTGGGGTCAATGAGGAATGGTTGTCGTATGTATGTTGAACTTCTCTTTCGCACAGTACGTCGCCAGCCGTGATAATCAGAGGTGCGGTGGAAGAACAACAGTACTAAACACAAAACGCAGTTTTAAAGAAAAGAGTTTTCAATCTGAATTTAAAAGTGCATAGCTCCAGTGGCTTCCTAGTGTCGTGGTTAGATGACTGTGCTATGAAGCCGGTGACCGGAGTTCGATTTTCGCTCATGGCCACCATCGGTGACAAATATTTGAGCTGGTCCTGCGCCGTCCCGAGGTTGATTCAGCCTTGAACAAGGACTCGGTGTGTGTAAATATCAGCACTGTTGAGACAAAGGTGGCCAGGTATGGTGTGGGCCACCCATCCCCTCGTGTACCGTGCCGGCCTTCGTAGGTGCTCGCTCGCAGCACATGCCCCCAACAGTCTATTTGGGCTGTAAGGAGATCCTTGTCTTTTTTTGGGTGCGAGCATTCTGCTGTGAGGTCAGGTTGTCACTGCCGGTTACTCAGCACGACGTCTGACGTTTCGATGCACGTGTCGGGCAGCATCTTAATCGTGCCGTCAATGTGCGTGCACAACGTGAACGCACAGAAACCGAGGCAGTAGGTTCGAGCGCCTCGCGCTACTTTCCCGCGACCATTGTAAATGTGGATTGGCGGCACGGCGATCATCCCGGGATGAGTGGATCAGGTTGCCGAGTTGCGTGTGGCCGTGCTGCCATGAGCCGCGAGGCGCACCCCATGGGGGTCAGATCCATTCTCCCATCCCCCTTCTCCTGTACGCTTCACGGCTGGGGAGAAATAATTGAAAACATTTTGAAATTACTTTACATGCAAGGTTGGATTAGGTCAGATCACCCCCAAGCTTACGTTTATTATTATTATTGAAAAAAATGTTGCTACCTGTATTTCCAATTTGGGGGGTGGGTGATTGCACTGAGCACCATTGAGTACGTCTGTTGAGTAAGCGGACGTGGAAAATGAGGTGGGGGGTTGCGTGGCTTTGTGGTGGACTGCAGCCGCTGAGTGGCGTCACAAAGGACGCGGAGGGTCGAAGCGAAATCTAAAGTTACGCTGGCACAGCGCTGGCATTTCCTGGCTGTCGCCCGCAGCCGTCTCCCCCCCCCCACTCTCCACCACCCACCACTGCCGTACCGTCATTCATATTTTATTTCGGTCATCGTAAATGTTTAATGTCAGCTTTTGTGGAGGACTCGTCTTGCGCGCTGCAGGCCCTTCGTGATTTGAAACTGGAAACGCTGACGTTGATTGGCCGTGCCCTGTGACTTGGAGGGCCCCATATGGAATGATCGGATTGTGGAATGGCTTCGCTGGACGGCGTTCGGGTCACGAAATCAAAGTGAGTAAACGGAAAACCCGAAGTCCCGAGCCCGGCAGATGAGCACCGCTTCAATGCTGATTTGAGCAGGAAATGACTTTGACGGCATATTGTATATCATTGCAGTACGCCAAGAGCCGTCGCCAGTATCCCATTGCCTGACAAAATCTGAAATCTGACCCCTCGAATAAAAACCGCCATGGGACGCTGCACCGCCTCCTATTATCAGGAGCCACCATGACTGCGGGTCAGCGTTGCCGGCATGACGGTATTATTTACAGACGCAGGCTGACAATGGGTTCGTTTTGCTGACAGCAGCGCTGTTTAATGGACATCATTTGAACGGCTCGGATTGCGGGAGAGGCGATGGGGGTTAGCGTGGTGTGGTACAAGGGCTGCTCGTGCCCCGTTGGGGAGTAGGGAATCACTCTGAGAGGGGGGGCGGGGGGGGGGAGCACTATTGTCAATAAAAACAATTTGGAGTGAAATTTACGAACGCTCGTGAATGTACAGAGCACGGACCGTTGATCTGAGCTGTAGATCTCTGTTGTTGTCGTAGCAAACAAGAACATAATGTGACGAGCAGAGCGAGTGAAAGTTACACCTTTCCATGGCGTTATTGTTATTATTACGTTTTTGTTCATCATCATCATCCGTGCTCAATCCACTGCTGGATGAAGGCCTCCTCCTCACGACCACGTGATGCGACGGTCCATATAGCCACGCTCCACTCAAGAACTGATATCGCCGCTCCGTCCGCACGTCGGACGCTCTCTCGGACGCTCCGACGTAAGCCTTGGACGTCGGCCCTGTCTATCGGCGAGTCCTCTCGCAAGCCCCCACTTCGTTTACTTAACGTTCAGTACGATGTTACCATCACGGTTGCTGTGGGCAAATGTGTTCATGAACCCATCTGTGCTGCACCTTTCAGCATTGTCCTCTCGTATGCCCATTGGGCTTTTTTTGGCACTCCAGTTTCCTTGAACACACTCATTGTTATGGGATTGGCCAAATCCTACCGACTGAAGGGGTTATCTGCCGATTATTTTCCCTCCTTTTACCGCGTAACAATTTAGCAAATCTCAACTCGCATCGGGTTTTCGCTATTTCAGTGTTTGCTTAGAAAATCAGACCTCGGTGTCTGGGGTTAAACATCGGTAGCATAACCACAATGATTGGGTGTGGAAAGTATGCCAAACGGCCCAATGCAGGACCCTCTTGGAGATAATCTTGAGACTCATTCAGTCCGTTCAGGGTAAAGGGCATTAAATAAGAATAGACCACCATTGGAAGCTTTTTTGCCAGTAGCAAAATATGATAATTGTTTTTTTACCCTTTTATCTGGCAACAAAACTGACACCTTTTTTTACAATGAGTCATGTTTGCATTGACTACAATACCTGCAGTCGGAATGCAAACAAAAAACACAACTCTGATCATGTATGCACTGTCCTTGAAATTGATTGGTCCACACCCGAGACAGCTTTTCTTCGAGCCTAGTCTCACATGGTGTTGGACCAGACGACGCCAAAAGGCGCACGCCTGTGAGACTCGGCTCTTAGAAAATCTGTCTCGGGTGTGGACAAATCAATTTCAAGGACAGGGCATACATTATCAGAGTTGTGTTTTTTGTTTGCATTCCGACCGCAGATATTGTGGTCAAATGCAAACATGACTCCTTGTAAAAAAAAGGTGTCAGTTTTGTTGCCAGATAAAAGGGTAAAAAAACAATTATCAAGAATAGACCAAACATACCCTCGCCAGGACTCTCCTGAAAACTGCTCTTGAGACTCCATTAGTTGTGCCTGAGTAAATGATGAATGGCATCGTTATTTATTGCTGCTGCTGCTGCTGGGGCCATGCAACTTGGGTCAGGGCAGCGCAACGCACTGTCAGGAATTCCGAGGCCTATTCCGCAGCGGGATGACTCTGCTTGCGTCAGCATTTCCCGTGCCGTTGACGTGTTTATCCGGGGCTGGGCGGCTACGGTTGCCCTGCTGTGCAAGCAAGGTGGGTGCGAGGACTGTGGGACTTGATATGCTTTGTCTTTTCCTAAACGAAACTGGAAGCTACCTGCTAAACTACTTCGAGACCTACGCCGCCTCCACCAGGCTACCTGAATGCAAAGAAAATATGCGGTTACTATATATATACGTAGCGTAGATGCAAATTATCAACGAAAAGAGCCTATGCGTATTTAAAAAAAACACTAATATTAACTATTTTAAAAGAAGCAGATGGCACGTAAGAGATATTTGCACAAGATGAAAAAAAAAAACTTTTCTCATGCAATAATTATTTGCTGCAATGGGAAAATGTTTTACTGTATTAGTAAGGTGGTTGATGGTGATTCTGATTCGCATTTTCACTGCAAAGAAAATGGGAGCAGAGGTCACCTTTCCCCATCACAAATTGATGAATACTGCCACCAGAAAATGACAAAGGGTCTTCAGAAGACCCCAATGCTCAATCGATAGATACGTGCACCAATAACTTCTTACAACGTGCGCCGAGATATGTACATTCACTTTCAGCTTTGGTCTGTGTCGTGTAAAAAACGAGTGCTCGGAATTTTAATTGAAGATAAAGTCAAATAGGGAGGCTGCCCATGGCAACGCAGTGGGAAGAGCTGAATGCCGTTTGTTACACTGGCAAGTGCAGATGCTTGACGAGCTTAGCTCTCATTTTTAAATCCTTTATATTAAGTTCGCTTGCTTGCTTGCGTGCTTGCGTGCTTGCTTGCTTGCTTACGACCGTGCAAACCTTTCGGTCGTTTTTTAATCCACTTCCCGTGATCCAATCGAGCTGCCATTTTGCACACAGACTCGTGCGAGACAATTAATGTTCGTGAAAAGTTTTTTCCAAAATTTTACACTGTTTAGGGAAAACAAATTAAATATTTAATTACCAATTGTTTAATACTGCAGACAATAATCTGACCCATAGGTGGCAGCCATCTCAAGCCAGAGGACAAGAGGACTCTAGCCGCCACGCATATAAAGGATTTAGAGTGAAAAACTTTGTTTTTACGGGTTATACTTATTAATAACCTGACTTCACCAATAAAGATGCTGCAGGAGATTGGTACAGAGATCCTGTTGCACAATTGAATAGATCTAGTAGCTACTGACGAAATCGAGGGTTGACCATGGAGGGAGTGAAAACACAGAGAGGACAGCAAGTCC